TTCTCGTAGTCATGAGTTTTCTTTTTTTTTACTCTCAATTTTCTTTTTCCACCTGAGTCATTTTTCGATTTCTGTCTTCTATGTTACTAATTTCCTCTAAGTGGTCTGTTCTATCTCCTAAGCTTGCTAGTTCATTCTTCATGTCATTTATTGAGTTCTTCAGCTCCAGAATTTATTTGCTTCTTTTTTATAATTTCAGTCTCTTTAGTGAAGTAGTCCTTTTGTTTATGGATTTAATTTCTGAGTTTGTTGAATTATTTTTCTGAGTTCTAGTATTGTTGAGTTTCCTCAGAACTGCAGTCTTAACATTCTGTCATTTAAATCAGTCTTCCATGTCTTTAAGTTTATTTTCTGGAGATTTCTCATTTACTTTCTGAACTCCCTTGTTACCTTGGTTATTTATTGGGCTTGTTGATTATTTCTCTGCCTGGGCATTTGTGAGAAGGAAATCATCTTTTTTTTTTTTTTTTTTTAAATTTGACTCCTCACTGTTTAGCAGATTTGTAGGAGAGGACTTTCTTTTATTTTCCAGTAGGTGGTGCTGAACCACAAGTTCTTATTTTCTCTCATCTGCACTTTGGGCCTTCTGGGATCTCGGTCAGGTAGTATTGCCTGGGCCATGGAAAACTCCCCATATTCCCTGAGCAGGTGGGGATTCCTTTTACATATCAGTTGCTTCTATCTCAGGACACCACCCCCACGTTGGGAAGTGGCAGGTGATCAGCCTGTGTGTACTCGATATAGCCTTCCTGCAGCCAAAGGCTACCAGCTATGCCACCACAGTGGGGAGGGGAGGGGAGAGGAGGGTGAGGGGAGGCAGGTTCCTGAATCTGCAGCTCTGATCTTTCCAGTGCTTTTAGCAGCAATGAGTACAGACCAGTTATGCTGGAAAGTTTTTTCTGGCCTCTTGTGATCTGTCAAGCGAGGATTTTTCAGCTCGGTGTGCCACAAGAGGTTGGGTGTGATGGGTTCCTTTGTCTGATCCTTGTGATGGAGGTTTGTGGAATGTCGTCACCTTTCACACAGCTTCCCTGCTCCTGGCCCTGGGCTCATCCTCAGTGTGTACCGACCACCCAGGTCGATGTTGCCTCTGCCCCTCTGGTCTGGTCTGCTCAGTTGGGGATGCACCCCCACCCTTCACTGCTGTAGCATTTGCTGGGGCGGCAGCAAGCACTAGTCTGTGCGTGCAGCTTCCATTTCTGTCCTTTTTCTGCATCCCATCTTCCATGTTCACTCTGGTAACCAGTGAGCCCACCTTCAGAGGTGTCAATGCGTGGATCTCTCAGATATGTTTGTGTATTGAAAAAGGAATCCTTTGTTGAGTTATAGCTGTATCTTAAAGGGGAGAGACCTAGAGGTCCTCTCTCACGCTGCCATGTTGCTGACTTCACTCTCCTGATAGTTTTTTTTTTTCCTTTCTTCTTTTAGAAGTTCTGTTAATGTTTCCTATAATACTTGTTTAGTGGTGGTGAACTACTTTAGCTTTTACTTGTAAGGGGAGCTCTTTATCTGTTCTTCAATCTAAATGACAGCCTTGCTGGGTAAAGTAATCTTGCTTGTAGGTCCTTGTTTTTCATCATATTGAATATTTCATGTCAGTTCCTTCTGGCCTGCAAAGTTTCTGTTGAGAAATCAGCTGACAGTGTTATGGGTGCTTCCTTATAGGGAACTAACTGCTGCTTTTTTCTTAGTGCTTTTCAGATTCCCTCTTTGTCTTTAAGCTTTGGCATTTTAATTATGATGTGTCTTGGTGTGGGCATCTTTGGATTTATCTTACTTTGTACTCTCTGCACTCCCTAGAGCTATGTCTATTTCTTTCACCAGGTTAAGGAAGTTTTCCGTCATTATTTCCTCAAATAGGTTCTCAATGCCGTGCTCACTCTCTTCTTCTGGAACTCCTATAATGCAAATGTTGGTACACTTGATGTTGGCCCAGAGGTCCCTTACGCTACCCTTATTTATTTAGACCCTTTCTCTTTTTGCTGTTCCAAGTCGGGTATTTTCTGCTACCTTGTCTTCATCTAATCTGCTGTCGATTCCCTCCAATGTATTCTTTATTTCAGTTATTATATTCTTCATTTCTGATTGGATTTTTTAAAAAATGTTTTCTACCTCTTTGTTGAAGTTCTTCCTGAGTTCATCTCTTCTTCCCCAAAATTCAATGAGCATCCTTATTATCAGTGTTTTGAACTCTGCATCTGATAGATTGCTTGTCTGTATTTTATTTTATTTTATTTTTTTGGAGTTTTGTTCTGTTCTTTCATTTGGGATATGTTTCTGTTCATTTTGGCTGACCTCTCGTGTTTGTTTCCATGTAGGGAGATCTGCTATGGCTCCCAGCCTTGGCAGAGTGGCTCACAGAGTAGGTGTCCTATGTGCCCCAGTGGTGCAGTCTCCCTGGTTACCTGAGCCAGGTACTTCCAAGGTATTCCTTGTGCAGGTTGTGTGTGCCCTCATGTGGCAGTTGAACCTTGATTGCTGTTGGCACACCAGTGGGTGGGACTGACCCTCGGGCTGACTGCCTGTGAAGGGTGGCCATGACTACAGCAGGTGAGCTGTTGTGCAGGTGTTGACCCCATGGAGTGGGGGTCACTTTAGTGGGGCTCTGGTGCCAGACAAGTTCACCTTTCTTGTGTGTCTTTTGTGGAGCAGGTTGGGTGGTGCTCCAGTGTGGTTTGAAGCTGGCCACCAGATGTGTTGGTTCTTGAAGCTCTTGGGAGGGTCTCTGATGCTGGACAAGATCAGCTGCAGCTTGTGCCCAGCGTGGGTCATCTGGTAGGAGCTGCAAAGTAGTCAGTGGTTGGTTGCCATTTCCTCTGGGCTTAGAGGCGTTTTGGAGAGGCTGTGCTGTGAACCTAGGCTGTCTGCCACAAGTCTCAGCATGGGACCCATTGGTGGACACCATGATGTGAGCTCAGGCCAGCTGGCACTTGTGCTGGGCTTGTGGCCACTTAGTTGAAGCTGTGTTCTAAAGCAAGACTGGTCACTGTTTATGCCAAGCATGGGGTCACCTGATGTAGGTCACAATGCAGGTTGAGACAGTCACTGTTTGTGCTAGTGTTGGAGTCACTTAGCTAGAGGTTCAGAGCACACCAAGGCCAGTGCTTCTTGTTCCAGAGTTTTGGAACTTTGAGAGATTTTGAGAAAGTCTGCAGCTTGGGCCAAGGCAGCCCACTTGTTTTAAAAAGCTGCTGGAAGAGATTTGGTTGGGTGCACAAGTTGGGTGAGGTGGAGTCTCAGGCAATCCCTAGGGCAGGGCAAGAGGTATTAGCCAGGTTAATAGAGAGCAGATTTGGTTTCTGCCTGTGCTGTATCTGCTGGTTGGGGGTGGGCTCAACAAAGGAACAGGGTACCAGCACTTCCATCTCCAGAGAGAGCTCTCCCAACCCGTGTTCTTTCAGCCCTCACCCTAAAGCTAGTCAATTTAGTTCTTCCCCATGTGTCCTTGGTGCTTTTAAAGTTGCTGCCCCTGTGTTGGAGCCCAGAGCAAGTGAGTTTGTGAGCAAGTGAGTCCTCAAGTGGGCCCCTCAAGAGGACGCCTAGCTCTCCAGCCATCCTCCATCTTACTTGGACACAATCCCTGCTGGCTTCACAGCCATATGTTATGGGCACTCCTATTACTGGCCCTGGAGCTAGGGAGCCTGATGTGGGGCCGGGACCCCTGGCTTCTCAGGGGGGCCACCTTGGGTGCGGGACCTGCCCATTCTGTGTCTCACCCCTCAACCCGCCAGTCTCAGCATGGTTTCTTTATGTCTTTAGGAATAAGACTTCTGGTCAGCTAGTCTTCAGGTGGTTCTCAATGATGGTTGTTCTATAATTTAGTTGTAATTTTGATGTTATGGAAGGAGGCAAGCACAGCATTTATCTACTCTGCCATCTTGACTGGAAGTCCTCTTTTTCATTTCTTTTACTGTATAAATTTAATTAGAATAACATGCATAAGTTAAGAATTTTAGGGGAAGGTAGGTTAGGGGACTGGGTGGAAAAGGTGAAGGGATTAAGAAGTACAAATTGGTGGTTATGAAATAGTCACCAGCATGTGAAGTACAGCATAGGGAATATAGTTGATAATACTCTAATAACTGTGTATGGTGTCAGATGGTAATGGAAATATTGGAGGGAACACTTTGTAAAATACATGATTGTCTAACCACTGTGCTGTACATAGCATATGCTTGTATGTGGAAATTAATACAGAGATAATATGGAATGTAAACTAATTGAAAAAATAAATTGATTTTAAAAAAGAATTTTATTGCAGATTAATTTCAGTGACCATTTTGGTCATCAGGATGAACTTTATTGGTGACTTTATGCTATAGAAGTCCTACTAAGACTTTACTTGCATTTGTACAAACAAGTCCCCCTCCCCTTTTTTTAAATTTAATGAGAAGAGTTTATAAAGGATAACTTGAGAGGAATATTTTCTCTACATTTTTCCGTATAGCTACCATTTACTTAACATTTTCTGAGCTAGGTACTTTATATATGGCGTTGTTTCATTCTTAGAACAGCCCAGCAAGTTTGGCTTTATTAGCTTGCTTTTACAAACTAGGTTAAAGAAGTTGTTCAAGATCACAGAGTAGTAAGCAATAAAGTTGGGGTTTGAATCTAGCCCCCTCTGTGCCCTTTCATTGCGCTGCTCTGCCTTTGACCAAGAAATCAGGTGTAAGGAACATCAGACAAAGAAGGGATAATAAAAGCTCAACTAGGAAAAAAAATGAAAGAAGTATATGGTTCAGTAAAATTAAAATACTTAAACAGATTTTAATCTTAGTTGTTATAGAAAAATTATTTTTCATGGGAAAAATTACTAATCTTGCTGAAAAAGATTTTTCTAGAACAAGGGTTTATTTAGAGAAGGATTAAGGCCTCTTAATAGTAAACCAAATATTTTACAACTAATGTGTTTAAAGCCAATTAAATTGTCAGATAGACATCAAATACCAAGAAAATACACTTGCAATTAAATGTAAGTATTTCATTTTTTTCCTGGTTAGATGTTGATGACGGAGACACGGTGACAGATTTCATGGCTCAAGAGCGAGAGAGAGGCATTACTATTCAGTCAGCTGCGGTTACGTTTGACTGGAAGGGGTACAGAGTCAACCTCATTGACACACCAGGTATGGCGATGTTCCAGCAGCGTAGAGATGCTGCATCATTTGAGGCTTTTGTTTGTGTTTGTGTTTTTTTTTAATTGTGGTAGAAAACACAATATTATAAAATTTACCATTTTTACCATTTTTAAGTGTACAGTTCAGCAGTGTTAATTATATTGACGTTGTTGTGAAATAGATCTCCAGAACTTTTTCATCTTGTAGAACTGAAACTCTAGTTCCCATTAAACAACTATTCTTTTTGTCCCCTCCTACCACTCCCAGTAACCTCCATTCTACATTCTCTGTCTGTGGAATTGACTACTTTAGATACCTCACATACGTAGCGTCATATAATATTTATTGTTTTGTGACTGCCTTATGTCACTTAGCATAAAGTCCTTTGAAGTTCATTCATGCTGTAGAAGGCGACAGTATATCCTTTGTTTTTAAGGCTGCCTAGTGTTTTGTTGTACATATTTAACACATTTTGTATACATACCATTCAGCCAGCAGTAGACATGAGGGTTGCTGCCACCTCTTGGCCATTGTGAGCAGTGCTGCTATGAACACAACTGTGCACATACCTTTTTGATACTCTCAGTTCTTTAAAATACATCCCAAAAGTGGGATTGCTGAGTCACACTTTCTTAAATTTTGTTTTAAGGTTTTAAATATTATATTTTTCATCTTTTTCTTAGGTCATGTGGACTTTACTTTGGAGGTCGAGCGCTGCCTAAGAGTGTTAGATGGTGCGGTGGCTGTATTTGATGCCTCTGCTGGTGTAGAGGTAAAAAAAAAAATGCCAAAGAAAAATAAAGATAGAGCAGCATGATTTTTTAAAAAAGTAGAATGTATCAGATTTAGTTTACTATAACCCTTTTTTTGGTAAGCTGATATAAATCAAATTATGATTAAAGGAAGTTGGAATTTAATATTGAGATGGTTTCTTTATATGGTCTCAGATATTTCATTGTTAACGGAAAGTATGTTTGCTTTGCTTTACAAAATATGAAAGTGTTGAACTGTGAAGGGCCTGAGATTCTACCTTATTTTCATGCTAACAAGTTAGCATGCCATAGTTTTGTGGATTCTGGAAGAAGAAACAAGACTCCTGAGTCAGAGATAAAAGACTTTGTTAGTCACAGAAATAGTGACAGCCAGTGTATCAGCATTTTCTTGTGCTGGTTCCCCTGCCCTAGGTCCCAAAGGGCGACCTGAAGGGAATCAGGTGACAGCCGCACACACAGTGGAAATGCTGTGCTTAGAAAATGCCTGCTCTTTGCTCGGGAGAGAGACACTGTTTCTGTCTACCCAAGATGGTCACTATAAACATCCTTGAAAGTACAGTCCAGAACAAAAACAGTGAGTGCCTCTCCTAACAAAACAGGCAGAAATGTGAGAGGCCCATGAAGAACTGTTTCCCAACAGTTAATATAAAGCCTCTTGAATAAATCATGAAAATGGATTTATAATAAATTATTGCTGCTGGGGTCGGTTATGCTGTCTTTAGCTATTACGTCATTTGTCTTATCTCAAGAATGGTTGTATATAGAAGAATTCATGTTAGTTCTTCTAATCTAAAAATTACTGAAAGTAATATCTTAATGAAGTGGTCAAAATTAACATCCCCCAATATGGGACAAATTGATGCCATGGGCCTCCTGATAAGATTCAGGAAGGACACAACCTAACCTATTTTGTATTCCTGGCAAAAATGCTTGGTACAAATCTAATCATGAAAAAATAATCAAATCTAAATTGAAAGACATTCTGCAAAACAAATGACCAGGATTTTTCAGAAATTGAAAAACTTTTTTAATTTCTGAAAACTGAGTGATTGAGGGTGAAGTTAGAATTAGGAAATTGTTCATTTAAAATTTTTTATTTTCACCTGAGGACATTTTTTCGTTGCTTTCAGAGAGAGTGGGGAGAGGGAGGAGGAGAGGGAGGGAGGAAAGGAGGGAAGGGGAAAGAGAGAGAGAGAAAGAGACAGAGACAGAGAAAGAAAAAGACATTGATGTGGGAGAGAAACATTGATCAGTTGCCTTTTCATACACGCCACAACTGGGTATCAAACCTGCATCCTGGGTATGTGCCCTGGCTGGGAATTGAACCCACTCCCCTTTGGTCTATGGGACAATGCTCCAACCAACTGAGCCACACCAGCCAGGGCTAGGGGAACTGTTCTAGATTAAAGGATTCTAGAGAGACAAGAAAACTAGGTGTAATATATGATCTTTAGCTTGATCCTGGATCCAACAAGAAAGTTACAGAGGACATCATTGGGAAAATCATAGAAATTTGAATATAGACTATATGTACTGTGTTAAATTCTTCCAAATGTGATCATTGTAATTGGTTATGTTAGAGAATGCCTGTATCTTAGGAAATATATACTGAAGTATTAGAAATGAAATGTCATGATACCTATACCTTGCTCTCATGGTTCAGCTCCCCCTCCCCGCCACACATGGTATTACTTTGGGTACTTTTGAGCAGCAGATGACAATATGAGATTACATGTATAGGAGATTCATTGTGGGGGAATCCCTATAAAGAATAAGGGAGAAATGAGGAAAGTGAGAGAGAGCTTTCAGATCACGGCATGTTTGACACTTACAAAGGGAAGGGGAAGGAAGGAGGATTGTGTAGGAAGAGTGTCAGACTGCAGCACAGTTCCAAAAAGGGTTTGGCTAAACTGGTGGGGAGTCCTCAAGCCAAAGGCACTGGTTAGAGGAGTCCCTTGTCTCACAGGAATAGGCCTACATTTGTACTTCTGCTGAGCTCACTCATGAACTAGGAACAGCCCACAAGAAGCTGGGCCTTGAGAGAACACAGTGGTAGACCTAGAAGGGCAGCAAGTAGGGCCATCAGTTAATTATGCTCTCGTAGTAGATCTAGGTGGCACATTTTCATAGTTACCATGCACATATAATGTGTGCATATGCATATGTTTGTAGAAAAAGAGAAAAAGCAGGTGTGGCAAAATGTTATTTGGTGAATCTGGATGAAGGGGACACATACATTTATTGTACTCTTCTTTCACCTGTTCCCTAGATTTGAAATTTTTCAACATGGAAAGTTGGGAGGGAGTTAAATAAGCAGTTCCTGAATACCCTGCCTAAGGACCTCTGACAGACGGTGACATTTGCTTGATACAAAGCCTAACACAGAGGTCCAAAATTGATTGTACACTTTTGTTTCTATTTCTTTCTAAGTCGCTTCATTTCCTAATGGGTTCACCCTTTCTGTCATTATAACTTCCTTATATAAATTTGATACTTAATCATTCAGACAGATTGCATTATTTAAGTTTCAAATATGCTGGAATAGGAAGTTAAATTTGTGATATAGGAGGCTTTTGTTTGTGAAACAGGCTTTTAGCTAGCTGATGGAATGGTGGGAGTTTTTATTCTTTTAATTTTTTAAAATATGTTTTGTTTAGGGGAAACTTATAATATATTCCCTCCTACCACCAAAACCTCATCACCATAATCAAAATTTAGTTAGGAGTGGATCATAGTATTAAGCTAAATCTGTATAGCTTCTAGAGGAAAAACAAGTACACAAATGCTGAATTTCCTGAGTGCAGTAGCACTTGATTATGTGGGTGAATATCATTATCTTAGGAAGTATGTGCTGAAATTCTCACAATGCATGTGTATGACCAAGGATTTGTAGAATATACGAAGAACTACCAATCAATAATAGAAATGAACAACACAATTAAAAAATGAACAAATGACTTGAATGGATAACTTCAGTAAAGAAGATATGTTAATGGCCAGTAGGCACATGAAAAGATGCTTAGACTCATTGGTCAAAAGGGAAATACAAATTAAAATTACAAAAAGAGACCGTTTAACACCCACAAGAATGGCTAAATAAGAATGATGGCCACTGTGGGTTGAGGATGTGGAGCAAATGGAACTCATATATTGTTGATGGGACTATAAAATATTACAGTCGCTTTGGAAGACCATTTGGCCATTTGTAATATAGTTAAATATATACCTGTTTTATAACCCAGTAGTTTTACTCCTGTGCCTTCATCCAAGGGAATGAAAACATATGTCCACCAAAGACATGTTAAGAATGCTTATGGCAGCTAAATTCAGAATAACAAACTTGAAACAGCCCATGTGCATCCACAGGTGGATAGAAAAAAATGAACCAGTACTTTTATACAAAGGAATTTAGCAATAAAAATGAATGAGCCAAAATACCAAACAACATGAATAATTGTCACAAACATGTTGAGCGAAAGACCATGTCATTTATATGAGATTCAAGAATAGTCAGAATAAATCTATGGTGACAGATACGTTACATAGAGAACCCTGAAGATTCCACCAAGAAACTACTAGAACTGATAAATGCATTCAGCAAAGTAGGACACAAGATTAATATCCAGAAATCAGTTGCATTTTTATATGCCAATAATGAACTATCAGAAAGGGAATTTAAGAAAACATTCACAATTGCTTCAAAAAGGAATAAAATACCTAGGAATAAATCTGATCAAGGGTGTAAAAGACCTATACTCAGAAAAAATGTAAGATGCTGAAAAAGAAATGGAAGAGGATACAAATAGTGGAAGCACATACTGTGTTCATGGAAAGGAAGAACTAACATCATTAAATCTGGTCCATGCTACCCAAAGCAATGTGTAGATTCAACATAGTTCCTATTGATATTCCAGTGACATGTTTCACAGAAGTAGAACAAATATTTAAAAAATTTATATGGAACCACAGACCCCATATAGCAGTGGCAACCCTGAAAAAGAAGAACAGAGTTGGAGGAATCACACTATATAATATCAAACCATACTGTAAGGCCACAGTAATCAAAAGAGCATGGTATTGGCATAAAAACAGACATATACATCAATGGAACAGAATAGAGAGCCCAGAAATAAACCCACACTTTTATAGTCAATTAATATTTGACAGAGGAAGCAAGCACATACAATGGTCTGGAGATAGTTTATTCAATAAATGGTGTTGGGAAGACTGGACAGATACTTGCAGAAAAATGTTACTAGACCACCTTTTTATACCACACACAAGAATAAATTCAAAATGTACTAAAGACTTAAATATTACACCCCAAACCATAAAACCCCTAGAAGAAAACATAGGCAGCAAAATCTTTGACATTTTTTATTGGATGTATCTCCCCAGGCAAGAGAAACAAAAGAAAAAAATAAACAAATGGGACTACATCATACTAAAAAGTTTTTGAACAGCAAAGGAAATCATCAGTGAAATAAAAAGACAACCCTACAGAATAGAAGAACATATTCACTGCTATACCTGATAAGGGGTTAATATCCAAAATTTATAAACTACTTATAAAACTCAACACCAAAAAAAAAAATTAAAAAATGGGCAAAAGACCTGATTAGGCACTTCTCCAAAGAGGAGCTACAGATGACCAAAAGGCATATGAAAAGATGCTCAACATCACTAATCATAAGAGAAATGCAAATTAAAACCACAATAAGATACCGTCTCACACCCATCCGAATGGCTGTCACCAATAAAGCAACAAACAAGTGCTGGCGAGGATGTGGGGAAAGGAGGGAACCCTTTTGCACTGTTGAGGGGGATGCAGACTGCTGCAGCCATTATGGAAAGCAGTATAGAGATAGATCAAAAAATTAAAAATGGAACTGCTTTATGACCCAGGGATCCTACTTCTGGGAGTGTATCTGAAGAAACCCAAAGCACTCATTAGAACATAAGCACCCCTGTGTTCATTGCAGCGTTTTTTACAATTGCTAAGATATGGAGGCAGCCCAAGGGCCCATCAGTGGAGGAGGGGATAAAATGCCTGTGGGACATTTACACAATGAAATACTACTCAGCTGTAGAAAAGAAAATTTTACCCGCTGTGACAGCATGGGTGGACCTAGAGAACATTATGTTAAGTGAAAGAAGCCAGTCAGAGAAAGACAAACACCATATGATTTTACTCATATGTGGAATCTAGTGAACAAACTCAACTAACAAGAAAGATAGAGACAGACTCATAGATGGAGAACAGGTGACAGTATGAGGAGGTGGAGGGATTGAGCAAAAAGGAAAAAGGACTCATGGACATGGACAACGGTGTGGTGATTACAAGGGGGAGGGGGATAAAGAGGATAAATGGTAATGGGGAAGATATGAGTCAGAATAGGTTGCTTATGGGGGAATGGGACATAAGGAAAATTTCTTAGGTTGTATGTTCTATATCTTGATTGGGACAGTAAGTATACAAGTGTATTCATTTTTCAAAACTCAATGATCTGTACACTTAAGAGCTGTATATTTTATTGTTTATTATTTATGTACATGTATAAATTTTACCTAATAAAACTATCAAATTATAAATTGGCTTTACTTTTAATTAATGATAGCACATTAGGCTTTCTATGCTCTGTTCCAAGGCTATTGCACTGCATTAGGCACAGGTATGTAATAGACTCTAACTATTATATCTAATGTGTACACAAAGTAGAATTAAGTCAAAGAGAAAAGCATATGAGAATTGCAGCTTATAAATGCAGGTATTGGCTTGTTTTTCCCCCTTAAGTCTTCTTCAGTTTACATGAACATTCAAACAGTCACAGTAAAAATACATAATTTTTATCACAGTAGCATTTTTATAGTATACCTCATTCTTTTAAAATCACAACTGTCAGAATTCAGACAAAAGTCCGTATTTCACAGATCAGAACACGTAAGCTCAGTGTTGTGTGGTAATACCTAGATAAGGTGAAGCCAAACAAAAAGGAAATCTTCTGATTCTCAGTAAAGTCCTCTTTCCATGACTCTCATTACTTCCCGGGTGTTAATTCTTTTTGTGTGGCCACCTAGTTCACTCAAGGTATTATTCTGAGTATGAGGCATACGTTTCGTCACACTTTGTTACATTCTTAGAGGTGTTAACCTGATAGCAAAAGAACAACTCTGGAAGTGTAAATGCAGTGCCACTAATTCTGTGCTAGAATAAGGCCCAATTCCATGTTATAATAGAGCCTTAGATCTCTCTGTTCCATGTGTCGTAACAGTTATTTTTGTCCAATATTTGCTCTTTGCTTTAGGCACAAACTCTCACCGTATGGAGGCAAGCTGATAAACACCAGATACCTCGAATCTGTTTTTTAAACAAGATGGACAAAACTGGAGCAAGGTATTTATTTAAAGTGTGTTTCTTTGGCTTATCAAAGTAAGAATACAATTTGAACTTTCAATGGAGTATAACTTAAATTTAGAAATTGTTATTCCCTGTAGAGTATAAATAATGCATGAAATCTCTATTTAGTTCTACTTTTTAAAAAAGCATCTAATTCATAGGTTAAGTAATAAGGTGAGATTAATAGAGAGCGGACAGATAATGAACCATCCTAATTCTAATATAGAGAGACTATGTTCCGTTTTCTAGGACCATGGCAGTGTAGTGTCTTGCTGATTTCCATTGGTTCTGTTTAGAGCTGTATGCTGTAGTCCCTGTATGTGTTGCTAGAGGTTACGGTGCCCCCTGTCAGTGTAGAGGGTAGAGAATTGTTTCCTGTAGTTGCGTCAGAGAACCATATTCTTTCTCGTCCTCTGATTTTCTTTAGCTATTGGGTAATATGCTCTCCACAGAAGGGAAGTGGGAGAGGAGAATGTTGATAAATGTTGTAAGGCCTGCATGTAGGGCAAAAGAGTTAATGCTGAAATGTTGTGGTAGTTCTCAGATGTAACCAAAAATGACACATTATTCTGAGAACATAATTCAGAATTCAGAATATCAAGAATATATGAAGGATTTGGAGAAAATATGGAAGGGAGATTCTAGAATGTAAAGGATTCAAGGGAAATGTGATGGGGAGAAATGCTGGTCTGTGGTGTGAGAATGGCAGAAACAAACAAACTATATCTTCCCTCAAACCACACAGTATGCTTTGTCTTTAGGTAAGTCTTGACAGTAATTCTAAGGTTGTTGGTTTAAAGGGCTTTTGTTTTGATTAATAAAAGCACAACCTTCAAAGTGGTTGAGGCTCAAGTTCTGATCCTTTTCTGTTGGAGTTCCTTGAGGTAGATGAAAATACTACTTTTACTGACTTACAGCACCTGTGATGATGGGGAGGGAAGTGACTAGATGCCAGGCTGGTTCTCGAAGACACTGGGACCAGAGGAAGCCCATGTGCCAAAGATGACATGTGTGCCATAGGCAGCCAACCCCAGTGTTAGCACAGAAGTGAACAGTCTAGCAGATGATATTAAGAGTGCCTCAGATAAAAGTATAGAAAAATTAGACTGGCTCTTGGAAGAAAGCTGGTAGCCCTGTACAATAGCAAGTACAGTTACTAGAAGAATCCTTGGCTTGTATCACAAATCTTGCATTTGAATCCTAACTGTAATTTATTATCTGTGAACTTGATCAATTCAGGTAACCTTAACCTTAAACTTAGTTAAAGTGAGGCTAACAATGATAATACCCTACATAACCTGTGTGACAGATTCTGGTTTGTAGTCAATTACTGTTACCTGAAATTGGCATTAAAATTTTATTCAAGATGTCCTGTGGAAAACTGTGAAGTGGTGAATATTAGGAACTATGAAAAGGGTTATAATTTTAAAGAGCATTCTTAAACCTGTTTTTAAAATCTTAACATTTTTAACTACAGTGTAATTATTTTGCTTTCTACAGTTTTAACTATGCAGTTGAAAGCATCAGAGAGAAGTTGAAGGCAAAGCCTTTGCTTTTACAGGTTGGTAGATTAATAACAACAGCTCCTCAGTTTCCTCATGAGTTTATTTATTGTGATATATACACTTCCAAAGCTATCTCAGGTCCTTTTTGGAAGAAATTGGGATATAAATAAAAATAGGTAAGGTTATGGGAATAATAGTGGACATTTGGTGGAAAGATAAGATTCATCACCAGTGCTGTTCTAATTGAGTCATCATTTAATGATGTTACTTTTACTTCAATTTATAGTTACCAATTGGTGAAGCCAAAAATTTCAAAGGAGTGGTGGATGTAGTAAGGAAAGAAAAGCTCCTTTGGAATTCCAATTCAGATGATGGAAAAGACTTTGAGAGAAAACCCCTCTTGGAAATGAGTGATCCTGAATTGCTGAAGGAGGCAACTGAAGCAAGGAATGCCTTAATTGAACAAGTAAAATAAATACTTTCAGTTTAAAATTGCATAAGTATTTAGAAACTTAAAAAAGTTTTTGTGAAATTTAATATAAAATTATATATAGAACATGGAAAGTATAAGAATATTAAAGTGAGCTCCAATGTATGTACCAGTGACTTAAGAAATGGAGTATTAGCAATACTCTTGAATTTCCATGTGTCACCTCCTGTTCATCTCTCTCCCTTCCACTAATTATCTACTCCCCAACCACTATATGATTATAGTTTATCTTACATTTGCTTTCCTTAATAGTTTATTACAAATGTGTGTATCATTAAAAAACTAAGATTTTTATGGTTTTGAACTTTATGTAAATGGAATGATACTTTTTCGTTTTTTATTACATTGTTTAACATTATGTTGGAGATTTGTCCATGTTGTTACATGTGGTTATACTTCACTCATTTTTATTCTTATAGTGTGGCAATATATGATTGTACCACAATTTATTATCTCTTTTCCTGTGGATGAACTCTGAGGTTGTTATTGCTTTTTTTGCTATTACAAACAGTGTGGCTGTGAACATCTTTGTATGTGTCTCCTTGTGCACATAAGCAAAAATTTGTTTAGAGTTAAACCTAGGAGTGAAATTGCTAGGTCAAAGGGTTTGCCTATCTTTTACTTGCCTGGATATCAGATTCTTTAGAAAATTTAAAACCATTAATTTTATAGTTTAATATATAATTTTAGACCTCATCCACCTTCAAAAATTTTTTAAATATTTTATTTATTTAGTTTTAGAGGGGAAAGGGGGGAGAAAGAGAGGGAGAGAAACATCAGTGTGTGATTGCCTTCCAAGCGCCACCTACTGGAGACCTGACCCACAACCCAGGCACATGCCCTGACTGGGAATCGAACTAGTGACCCTTTGATTTGCAGGCTGGCACTCAGTCCACTGAACCACACCATCCAGGGCCACCTTCAAAATTTTAATAGAAAATAGTAATAGTGTTAATATTGGATTGGCCAAAAAATTTTTTTTTCCCATAAGATGGCTCTAGTAGTGCTTAGTTGTGTTTAACTTCATTTGAAACAATTCTGTTAGATTGTATTGTGTCAGCTGTCATAATCAGCATGCATTTTTTAAAAATCCTATCAAAATTCGTGAATTTTTGTGTAGCCATTTTAATATTGAATATAGAAGAAAGTATGAAACATTTTTGGCATGTTATGCTTTATTATTTCAAGAAAGGTAAAAAAAGCACAACTGATGCAAAAAAAAGATTTGTGTAGTGTATGGAGAAGGTGCTGTGACTGACTGAGCGTGTCAATAGTGGTTTGTGAAGTTCCATGCTGGAGATTTCTTGCTGGATGATGTTCCGTGGTCGTGGAGACCAGTTGAAGTTGATAGTGATCAAACTGAGACATTAACTAAGAACAGTCAACATTCTATCATGCAGGAGATAGCTGACATACTAAAAAAAATCCAAATCAATAAAGTTATTGGTGAAATTGAAAAATATGTTTTATTTTATGGAAAAAATTAAATGGACTTTTGGCCAACCCAATATATATAATATTTATAGGATATTGTTAATATATAGAACAATAAGTAAAACATACCTTAAATAAACTCCCGGAATTTTATGGTAGAAAAGAACATTTGAGTGTGAACTCTTTGATTTTCTTTTTTTAATTTACTAATTATTTTTATTGATTTGAGAGAGAGAGGAACATTGATGTGGGAGAGAAATATCAATTGGTCGCCTCCCACACACACCCCCAACCAGGGACCGAACCCTCAACCTAGGCATGTGCCCTGACCAGGAATTGAGACCATGACCTTTCCCTGTATGAGATGATGCTCCAGCCAGCTGAGCCACACCTGCCAGGGCTCAACTCTTTGATTCTCTTACTTCTAAATTAAACTAATCAAAATAGATCTCATAATTAACTTTTTCATTCATCTTTTGTATGAAGTTATTATTGAAGTAATTATTTTCCATTGTAATATATAGCAATTATCAACTTTATGATTAACATAACTATCATTGTTATTTTTATTATTGGATAATAGTTATTGAAGACTTACAATCTATCTTAAATGCTTTACATATAGTATTTAATACTCACAACAGCCTCTATTATCCCCATTTTACAAGTGAGGGAACAGAGGCCTCCAGTGCTTGAGTAAGTTCTCCCATAGCTAATAAATAGCAGAGCTGGAATCGGAACCCAGATCTGTCTCAGTTAAGAGCTAGAGCTCTTAGTTTGCCATGTGGCTGCTCAAATTGGGCGGGGGGAACATGGAAAGAATAAAAGTGAAATTCACACTTATTAATCAATAATTGGGTATATATTGGTTCTCTTTTGGGGTTTTGTTTATCTTAACAAAGGGGCTATCAGAATAAACCTAAGAAAGATTTTATGATGTAGTTGTGGAGCCAGTGTAAACTTGCGCATATGTCTCATATTGTTCTAGGACATGAAAGGCTCCAATTTTATTTTCATTATATATTATCAGTAAATAATAAAGTGCTAATTACAAGGAATGCATATGTATGTATGGAATTAGTAACACCACATCACACCTGTTAGGATGGCTACTATTAAAAAAGTAAAATAAGTATTGTAAGGATGTGGAGAAGTTGTAACCCTTTTGCATTGTTTGTGAGAATGAAAATGGTGCAGCCACTGTGAAAAGCTGTATGGTATTCCTTAGAAAATTGAAAATAGATTTAATATATGATCTAGCAATTCCACTTCTGGGTATATATCCAAATGAATTGAAAGCAGATCAAAGAGGTATTTGCACATCCTGCTTCACAGCAGCATTATTTATAATAGGGAAGAGGGGGAAGGTGTTTATCAACAGGTGAATGGACAAATAAAATGAAGCTTGGGGACATTAGATTGCTAATTAAAATAAGCCAATCACAAAAAGACAAATACTGCATGATTCCACTTATGTGAGATATCTCTATACAAGTCTGGTTTATAGAGACAGGAAGTAGAATGATAGTTGCCAGCCTCTGGGCAAGGGGAGAATGAAAAAGAGCTATTTTATGGGTCTGTAGTTTTGCTTTTGTGAGGTGAAAAAGTTCTGGAGATTAGTTTTATATCACTGTCAATATACTTTACTGAACTGTTCACTTAGGAATGATTAAGATGGTAAATTTTATGTTATGTTATACTATATCACAATTACACATTTTTTAAAAATTAAAGAATAGGATTAGTGTAGATAGGAACCAATGTCCTGTGTCCTTCAGGCGAACAGTGAAAATAATAAATAATATTTTTTCTATAATTACTGTATGTTTTGGCAGCATAATTACAATTGGTTATTTAATCCTCACAGTAGCCCCATGAAGTAGGTACTAGTGTTATCTCCATGAGTAGCCAAGGAAAAGAGAGATGGTGACATACCTTGGCCAAAGTTTTCACATAATTTTTTAAGTAGTGGAGTCATTTCCAGGCAGTTTGACTCCAGAAGCTGTGCTTAGGCATTACATAGGCTGCTTTTCAGGATGGTTTGGTACATTTTTTGCTATAGTTGGCTGTGAAAAGTGTGTTTTTCTCACCAAGTTTGCAAGTTTTGTTCCAGTGTACTATTATAAACTTTTGAAACATTTATTTATTGTATTGTCAGCTGAATTCTTCTACTTCATAATGGCAAACAATTATGAAAAGAATGTAAATTAGATAATTGCATTTTTATTATTGAAATTATGTCTATGCCCCATCCCCCAAGCTTAAAGGTATTTCCTCAGTGCAGGATTAGTTGTTTTAGTTTGATGGTCTTAGGAGATCTTGTGAACATTCAGAATATTAGAGGAGCACCAGGTAAAACTTTCTGATGAATTAAGACCCCCAAATTTATCCAAAACCAGCAATCCATTGTATAAGTTATCACTGGCTGTAGATTGTGCATTTTCTTTTATGTCTTTTGAGCACTGAATAGATAGCACTTTATTTTCTTTGAAAAAAAAAACCTCTCTTTAGAAGATAGGAAGTGGTCCTCGGCCTGGATAAGTTACATTCTTGTAGCTGTCTTGAAATACTTGGAAAATATGTTTATGGCATTTAGACTTAAGCTAATTGTTGGACAACAAATGCCAGCCGTAGAACTAAAAGCCTTTCTCTATAGGTTGCAGATTTGGATGATGAATTTGCTGACTTGGTTTTAGGAGAATTTAGTGAAAATTTTGATCTGGTACCAGATGAAAAGGTAAATTTTATTCATTTACTGTAACCAAGTTTTACTAATTGGATTTGCTTTGCTTTGTCTGTTTTTATTTCCCCTCTTCAACTTTGCATAGCATTGGAAACTGTTGACGTAAACAAACATTAGTAAAATATTAAGGTAAAGTTACTACTAACACGAAATGTTGCCTTAAATAAAAATTAGGAGAATGTAAGGATAATAAAGCCACTACTAATATATGGGTACTTAATAATGGCAGTGATTTACTATTTTTGGATATACTTAACAAAATTAGAAATTGAGTCTTTTTTACTTGTATTGAGTCAAGAGAAGTTAAGTGTTCATTCTCAGCCTATTCTCTTCATTGTGATCATTTTTCTGAGTATTTTAGGGAACCCATAGGTAGAAATTTGGATTTAAAATTTACTGGCTTTTCAGACTACTACAATGATCATTTTAATCAGAACTTTTTTTTTTCTGAATCTGTTTTAATTTTTAGTGGAAACTCATTGCAGGTCTGTGTGTGTGTGTGTTTGTGTGTGTGTGTGTGTGTGTGTGTGTGTTTTCTTTTAAAACATGTTAAACCATAGGCTAGGCAAGTAGAATACTGATGATAATTGAATCATGACAGATTTCTTCAAGGCATTCCTGTTTTGTTTTGTTTTGTTTTGTTTTTTTCCTGCCAGGGACCTTTCCCCGTGAATTTGGCAAACTTACTCTTTATTTTCCTTTGTGAAACATAAGAGTTACCAAAGAAAGTTTTTAAGTGATAATGTGTATAATACTGGATTGGTCAAAAAGTCCATTTAGTTTTTTCCATAAAATAGAAGACACATTTTTCAATTTCACCAATAACTTTGTAGATTTGGATATTTTGAGTATGTTGGCTATCTCTCGTGTGATAAAACATTGATTGCTCTCAATTAATGTCTTGATTTGATTGCTATCAACTCAACTTGTCTACCTGACTGTAGAACATCATCCAGCAAGAAATCTCCAGCATGAAACTTTACAAACCACTTTTGACACGTTCAGTCAGGCCTTTTCCATACATTGCACAAACCTTTCTTTTGTGTTTCAGTTGCGTTTCTATCTTTTGTAAAATAATAAAGCATAATATGTTGAAAATGTGTTTTCTTCAATCTTCAGTATTAAAATGGCTACATAAAAAATTCACCAATTTCAATAAGTTTTTTAAATGCACATACTGATATGAAAGCTGTCACAATACAATCTAACAAAACTGAAGTTAACAACAAGTAAGTGCTACTAGAGCCATCTTTTGGAAAAAACCAAATGAACATTTTGGCCAACCCAATAAGGTCCAAGATGAGCCCAACAAATTTTACCTAGTTATTTTTCCTAAAAGAAATTAAAGAAAAACATGAGGTCTAATTGTAGATTAATTTTAAGCCATTTAAAGTTATTTGAGGTGGGAAAAAATATTTTCCTTTTGAATGAAATGCCATAATTTTGACATTGTTTATTGTTTAGTATTTGAATGCTGAAGTGTGATTTTCACTATGCCCAGCAGTCATATAGCATGCTTTCTGTTTTCAAAGAGCTTATACTCTAAGGTAGAAATGACCCACCATTTCTCTTATCAGGAGCTGGCAAGTACATATGAGCTTTTCTTGTTTTTTGAGGTCTTTCAAAAAAAAAATGTTCTACTTTGATGTCTCATTTTCTTTTGGATTTTATTTAATATGGATCAAATTCATTTGAAAAAAATTGTAATTCTTATTTATATCTTTAATTTCTTACCAGTTTCTCTGTTAGATTAACAAGGTGAAACAATAAGTATATTAATTCTTTTTCAAGAAATATTTTCAAATACCTACTTTATTTTAACCACTTTTCTGGTTTCTGGGGATTTAGCAGTGTTTTATCAGACTTTACTATAATGCTCATATGTAAATTTTACATTTTAGTGGAAGAGGAGGCAGACAATAAACTAATAAATGTATATTTAATGTACCAGTTAGTGATTAATGTTATAAAGAAAAACAAAGAATAAGGCCATAAAGAATGATGGAAATGTGTGAGGAGTGCTGTTTTACATGGTTGGTTAGGAAAGACATCTAATTCTGAGCTATTTTGGTTGGAGACCAATGCACTGTATATGTGACCATCTTATGGCACAGAAAATGCTTATCTCTACCTCTGCTTTGTAGCTACAGACTGCAATCCACAGAGTAACCCTGGCGCGGATGGCAGTGCCTGTGCTTTGTGGGAGCGCCCTGAAAAACAAAGGGGTCCAGCCCTTGTTAGATGCCGTTACTATGTATTTGCCTTCACCCGAAGAGCGCAACTATGAATTTCTGTGAGTATGCAAGTCCATAGATTAAAATCTTATAGCTTTGAAAAAACAAGTAGGCAAATAGATCTTTTTTATCCTGCAATGAGTAGTTGAATCACCATTTTTAAATAAGATTGGTGAGAAATATCATTGTAAATACTATAATACAGTGCCATACAAGTTTTTACTTGAAAGGGACACTTGTTACCTCTTGTAACCTGCTACCTTTACACATGGAGCTAAGAATGTGGATTTACTTGATGTGTAAAAAGTATGTTGACCTGCCATCTTGTTTTTTTGTTTTTCATTTTATTTAAAAAGTAGTATACTAGGGACATTTGATAAATATTCTGTAGATATATTTATATCTATTCTAGATTTCAAGATTTTTCAAAGCTCAAAATATTTTGTGGTTGTAAAGAAAGGTCATTGTTTCACTCCTATTGTCACTAACAACTTTGTACTTACTAATAAATCCTCTAAAATCTGAGTAAGTATTGTCCAAAATTGCAGCCAATACTGTACTTCAGTCCTTTTAATGAGGACATTACTCACTTTTCCTATCTCTCAGCTGCAGAGGCATACAGTAAAGTGATTATAAGCATGGACTGTGTACTACCTGGATTTAAATCCCAGCTCTTCCAAGGTGTTTAACCTCTCATCTATGAAATATAGAGAATAGGACCTATTTCATAGGATTGTTGCAAGAAGCAATGAATTAATACTTATAAAGAACATGGAACAGTACCTAGAATATTGTAAGCTTTATAAGTATTTATTAAATAAAGTTAAAAACTGGAGGAATAATATTGGAGATGTTATAAAATAGAAATGTCTAAACTACTTCAAATTATGGACTCCTTTGAAACTAGTGAAAATATGGAGCTTTTCCTAAGAAAAACACTTGTGCACAAAATTTGGCAATTTCAGAGGGTTTCAGAGTTTCTGTAACCTATTGATGAACACCAATTTAAGGACATCGTTCTGTAAGAATGTTGGCATGTAAACAAGTTCAGATATATAATATAAATTTATATAGTTATGTAACTGGTGAAAAAGTGAGAGGAAAGTGTAAAAGCAATAATTGGAAAGTACCTGTTTATTTACCCTGTACAGGTTTTTTCGAGAAAGTGGTGTGATGTTCCTAGGTGTTTTTTTTTGAGGAGGGAGCTCTTGGCTCTGGAATTACTTGCATGTAGAAATAATATTTGGAAAAGGCCCCACTGTTTTTAGTTTTGAGGACTTAATGGTAAGATTGCCATAAAATAATTTATTCCAATGGAGGGAGAGAGGCACTGGCATTATTTAATCAGTCTCGGTAGCTAAATCAGAAGATTTGAAGACTCTTTGGAGGACTTCAAGATTAAGTTTGTGAAGTGATTATCATCTGATCTGTATAAATATATAGGAAGTGTATTTTAAAGGCTTTTCTGGAATGTCTCCTTAATTTTTATAGGCAGTGGTACAAGGATGACTTATGTGCACTGGCATTCAAAGTTCTCCATGACAAGCAGCGGGGACCACTGGTTTTTATGCGCATTTACTCAGGCGTGATAAAACCCCAGTCGGCCATCCATAATATTAATGGAAACTGCACGTAAGTGGAACCTTCGGTTATTTTCTAAAATTGTGCTCGCTTCTTTAAAAATACTTTTACTGATATATATCATAGTTTTACAGGGAGAGAATAAGTCGTCTACTTTTGCCATTTGCTGACCAACATGTAGAAATCCCTTCACTGACTGCTGGCAACATTGCTTTGACTGTTGGACTTAAACATGTGAGTGACCAAATGGTTTCTCTAGGAAATAACAGCTTATGTATTTAATTAAAAGTTGGTATTTTATAATAGCAAAAACCTGTAGATAATCCAAATGTCCATCAATAATGGAATAATGAATATTGTAGTATATTCATCAGTGTGGTTGAATCTCACAGAAAGAAAGAAAAGTACATTATGGCTCAGTGGATTGAGCACTGGGTTGCAAACCAGACGTTCCCAGTTGGACTTCTGGTCAGGGCATGTGCCTGGGTTGTGGGCCAGGTCCCCGGTTGGGGTATACGAGAGGCAGCCGGTTGATGCTTCTCTCACACATTGATGTCTCTCTCCTCTTTCTTTCTCTCTCCCTTCTTCTCTCTCTAAAAAATAAGTAAATAAAATCTTTTTTTAAAAAAGCACAGAAGGCTATTAACAGTATGGATTGTATTTAATCAAAGTCAAGTAAAATAATATACTATTCATGGATACATACATGTTTTAAGATGACATAAAACATTGTTACTCCCATTGGATTTGTTTTCCTGTTCTGATCCTTGCACACAATTTCATCCAGCCTTATGACCAATCAGGTACTAACTGAAGAGGTTTTGCAGTGAAGGCTCCATGAGGGCACGCCTTTCTGTCTCGCTTGGTCTCTGTTCTCAGTCCTCAGGCCAGTGCGCTAGGTGCTTCGTGACTGTAGGAGGAAAATACTTGACGCCATCTGTATACATTTTTGGTGGACTAAAGCTCAGGACATCTTAGGTCAAGTACAGTTTCTCATTAAACTTTGGTACATTTGACATTAGTGTAAACACTGTTACTTTTAACTTACTTTTGTTTTAATAGTTTATTGTAATATAAAAAGAAAATTTTACCCTTTGCAGCAACATGGATGGACCTGGAGAACATTATGCTAAGTGAAATAAGCCAGTCAGAGAAAGACAAATACCATATGAGTTCACTCATATGTGGAATCTAATGAACAGCCCGAACTAACAAGCAGAATAGAGACAGAGTCATTGATAGAGAGCAGGCTGACAGCTCTGGGCAGAGAGTGGGAGGGTTCTTGGGAGGTGGAGGGATAGAGTAAAAAAGAAGAACTCATGGAAACGGACAACAGTGTGGTGATCATGGGGGATTGGGGTTGGAGGTAGAAGAGGGTACAGGGAGATAAATGGTAATGGAAAAAATACAATAAAAAATGAACTTTTAACATTTTTAACTCTTTATGAAATTGCAGGATTTAAAATCCTTTACAGAAAATTCCCATGGTTCAGAAATTGGACTTCTAGCATTGCGGTGTCCTCTCTGTCTACCTGGAGGCAGGAGTTCCTTTTATGTGTTTGAAGGAGTTACAGAAATCTGTCTGGGCTCGTGCTTCAGTAGGAATATCTTTACAGAGATGGAAACTGGCACAGAGCTTCATAACATATATGTTTAAAATTAAAATTATAGCCCTAGCTGGTGTGGGTCAGTGGGTTGAGTGCTGGCTTGCAAACTGAAAAGTTGCCAGTTCAATCCCAGTCAGAGCACATGGTTGAGTTTCAGGCCAGGTCCCCAGCTGGGGATGTGTGAGAGGCAACCAGTTATTGTATCTCTCACAAATTGATGTTTCCCTCCGTCTCTTTCTCCCTCCCTTCCCTTCTCTCTAAAAGTAAATAAAGTCTTTTTTAAAATAAATTAAATTTAATTTAAATTATAGTTTTACATGGGTAAGGGTATTCTGATTAATTGCATATTTTAGTTAATAGAGGCTTTTTTGTAAAATAGTAATAAATTTTTAAGGTGATAAAACCCTATTAGACTTCCACCTAACTTATCTTTGCATGATTGAAAATTTGGGGAGGTACATTTGTTTTGCCAAATGAATTTTGGGTATGTACTGTGTGTATATTTTATTATTAGACTTATTACAATACTATTTTGTTTAGAATTCTTACACACATTAAATTAGATTTACTTGTGCAATGTTATAATGAGCTTTACAAATTGTCTCTCTTTTAAGTACTGATGAAAAGAAAGTGCTACATTGAATTTTTTTTCATTCTGTGGTTCTCGGTGGAAGCTGAGTGCTTACCAACAGCCCGTTTCATCCCGAGGCATCTTCTTTGCTTGCAGACAGCCACTGGAGACACCATCGTCTCATCCAAGTCCAGCGCATTGGCTGCAGCTCGTCGAGCCGGAAGGGAAGGGGAAAAGAAGCATGAACAAAACAGTGAGGCAGAGAGACTCTTACTGGCTGGGGTGGAGATTCCAGAACCTGTGTTCTTCTGTACCATAGAACCTCCTTCGGTGGCTAAGCAGCCAGGTATGGAATAGTCTTGGTGGATCAGTTAATTAGTGCTCTGATGGTTCAGATGAAATAGTTACATTATACTCTCAAAAGATTTCATATGTAATTGAGTTTAATCTTACCAGAATTTATTGGTAAATATTTCTTATGTAGTCTAGCTTTTTATTTAAGATGTTTTGATTTTTACAAACTCCTATTATTTTTTTCTTTTGTTATATCTTGGCCATTTTTCTCATATCATATTCTTCCTTAGTTTTATTCAAGCACAAACCCAAACTCTTTAGTAAGGCATATACAGCTCATTATTCCAGCTATGTCATTTCTAATTAAACTTGATTAGGTATAGCAGAAAATCCTCAAGTAGCAATTGCTTTAATGATAAAAATTTATTTCTCTCTGTTGTAAAATATACCTTGAGTTGGCAGCGCAGGGACTGGAAGGTGGCCCCACAGTCTCAGCAGGCACCAGGCTCCAGTCTTTCGTCTCGCCTGTCTGAGCGGACAGCTCCTATCCTTAGTCATTGCATGACTGCTGCTGCGGCCTTGGGCATCACATGGGGGCTCCTGGCAGCAGAAGGGAGCAATGGCTTTTAAGATTTCTTACATGTCATTGGCCATCGCTTAGAATCTATATGGCCACCAGTTGCAAAGGAGTCTGGTAAGTGCAGTCTTGTAGTTAGACAACAGCGAAATAGACTGGGGGGCTACTAGGAGTCTTTGACACCAGCTTTCTTGACTGGCCTCACTTCTTGAAACTTCCTCCTTTGTTCTGAACTCTCTTCTTTCACCCAAACAAAAATAAAACAGACTAACTGCTCACACCTCACAGTGCCATAATAAAGTAGTTCTGATGTCCTGAAGATGCCATGTTTTTTTTCACACTGCTGTTTTTTTTCCAGTGTTCTCTCTTGCATTATGATGGCACCCCTGAATTGTCTGCTTGGAAAATACTCACTCTTTCTTTAGGTCTCAGCTGAAGCATCACCTCTTTTTGAAGCCCTCACTGAATTCCTCTATTAGACTGTTAAAGGACAAGCTTTCTAGTTCTACCGGTGGCTTTAGAAGCCATTTTCCACTGGAAAATGAGTTAGATCCACAGATAATGGAAAAGCAAAGGCAACCTTTATGGCCTCCCATGTCTTTTTGAGTACCTAGTGCGAAAGAAAGGATTCCTACCCAAGTAGCAGTTTCAGTTCCTCACCTCTCCAGCTAAAGTTTACCTGAAAGAAATCCAAGTACAGGTATAAGCCCCCAAGTACTGAAGGAAACTGGGTGTCTTCTTGTCCAGTTGGTAAAGGAATGGCATTTATTTATTTATTTGTGATTTAAATTCATACAGGTGAAGGAGCAGTGTCCTCGTTACCTTAAAATGCCCTGAGGCTGGCTAAAGAAGGCTTGACTCTGGGGATCAGGTGACATGAGTGTGGCTCCCAGTTACATCAAGGTTGACCAAACTAGTTTTATCAAGTGTGACCACACACTTAAGGACAGGAGCTCCCCAAACAAAATAACCTATGAGTTCTTTTGAATATATTTGAAAGTCATTTCATATGTGAAATGTAGTGTGTCCACTTGTATTCAAATTGCAGGATTGTAGTTAAGTGGCACCAGCCAGTTTTAAAATCCAAAGCCTCAATACATAACTGCTTTAGCAGAAAACCTACTTTATGTGTCCAAAGAAAGTCTAATTAAATGGGCATTAACTCAGAGGTCCCAGGCTCCAGAGAGCAGAGGACTTCCCAGAGCCACCCTTACTCAGACTTCTTACAAGCAGATCTACACACACTTTTCTCTGCGCTTCCACTGTATTGACCCTTTGGTCCTGTTATAGGACCTGACAACTCGTGTTATAATGCTCAGTGTTTTCACCCCAATAAACTCCTGAGGGATGTATTCCTTATAAATAGTTTTGAATGAATTCATATTTTTATAATAACATTACCACCTTGTTCTAAAAGCCACAAAGTGTCATAAGCATTGTTACTTTCTTTATCTGTAGGTGTTTAAAAATAAATTATTACCTAAAATAATGCCTCTCAACCTTGGATGTGTGTATACATCTCTTGGGGTTCTCATTAAATGCAAGCTGATTCAGCCTAGAACCTGAGATTCTAACAGGCTCCAGGTGATGCCGATGTAGCTGGTCCTCGGACCCAACTATGGGATATTGAGTCTAGAACAGCATTGTTCCATGGAAATATAACATGATCCGCTTACATAACTTAAAATTTTCTTACAGCCACAGTAAAAAAATTGGCAAAATTAACTTTAGCAATGTTTTCTTTAACCCAGTAAATCAAAATATTAGTTGAATAATCAATATAAAAATTGAGATATTTTACTCTTTTTTTTCCATAAGTCTTTGAAACCTGGTGTGTATTTCACACTCACAGCGCATGTCAGTTTGGATTGGTAATACCTACCGATGGCTAGTGGCCACCACCTGCGTGGCGGTCTAGAAGGCCTGGTTTATATACGTAAGAACAGCTTAAATGCATGACTGATAAGGTTGGTTCATTCATCCATTGCTCAGTTCTTTATTTCAGCTACACTTTGTGGAACTCCTAACATCTTTTATAAAGAGGTAGGGTATACATATCACCTAATTGATTGTATTAAAGTATCACTTTTGATGGTATATTTAATGAAAATAATATGTTCTTATTTCCTCTTTGGTTGTGATTATTTGTCACAGAGTGACTACATCACCACCTCTTTATTCATGATGTACTTTAGCTTCCTTTTACCAGTTTCCCATTATTGTCTGTGTTTCTGAAGGCATTTTGCTTTTCTGTCAGCTCTTAGATTGACCTTTGCAGAGCATAGTCAGGTGATGTTGCTGCCCCACTGAAACCCTGTGGTGGCTTCCCATTGCAAATGCAAACTCCTCACATGGCCTGCAAGACCTGCACCACATCTGCCTTCTTACCTGATGCTACCTTTCTGCCCACCAGTGTCAAGCTGTGCTGGCGTTCTCATTGTTCTTCCAATAGCAGCTTATTCGTTGCACACCCATTTCCTCTGTGTGGAATTCTTTTCCTTCAGCATTTTGCTTACAGGGTCATTTTTTAAATGTCTTTACCCAAATCATTGTGGAGAAGCCTTCCCAGATCACCCAGTCTCAAGTAACCTTCTATCCTACCTTTTCACCTTATTTTATTCTCTACAAAACATTTATGGCTGTTTGAAATTTTCTTTTTCAAAATTTGTTTGCTTGCTCATCTGTTTTCCCCACTAGAACGTATGGTACATTATTTAAAAAAATGAAATGTAAAGATAACTGTTTTTGTTTATCCCCCAGATTTGGATCATGCATTGAAGTGCCTTCAGCGTGAAGATCCCAGTTTGAAAGTGAAGCTTGATCCTGACTCTGGACAGGTAGGCATATTGGTACTCAACTCCAGAAATCCGCCAATAATTTAGTGTGTGTGTGTGTGTGTGTGTGTGTGTCTGTGTGCATGAGTGTAAGTGACTAGATCTGTAATATTAATTTAGTCTATGGCCCTGAAAAAGAAACTGTCTTTTTTGGTTCTCATAATATAAACTTCTAATTATTATGTTATGTTGACTGTCAAGCTAAACAGACAAGTTCTCCCTAATTCTTTAAAATAATTACACCTGACTTATATAAACTGCTCTGCAACATTTAGACCATGGTTCAACCCCAAGACAAAAGCCCTGAGCCTCTTATGCCAAGGCTTATAGGAGTGGCACACTAAAGGGAAGGTGCAAAGGTGCTGTTAATGCTAATGGCACACATAAGGTGGGTGAGAAGTGGTAGGTCACAACCTGGCGATGTGGGAGGAAATAGAGTTCTAGAGCAGGTACAGAACTGGGCTGTCTGTTACAGCACAAGAGGAGACAAATGTTCATTCTTTATCTTCATTTTAGGAAGGCAGGTCTGGAAGGCCTGGTTTGTATAACTAAGAACAGTTTATATAACTAAGAACAGTTTAAATGTGTGACTGATAAGGTTAGTTCATTAATCCATTGCTCAGCTTTTCAGATATACTTTGTGGAACTTCTAACATCTTTTATAAAGAGGTAGAGTATACATTATCAGTTCATTGATTGTATTAAAGTATCACTTTTGATGGTGTATTTAATGAAAATAATTAAATAGGGTGAATTTTTTACATAAGATTTTATAAAGAGTTCTTTAAAATAATTATAAATTCGTCTTAAAGAGGATGAACTGATTTAGTTAATCTGAAAAATAGGGGGTACTTTATTTTCCCAAATACCAGGTAAGTGAGCAGTAATTTAATTTATCTTGAATGCTACAATAGCATTTAAAACAGAAAGCTTTTTATTTAAAAAACACCCATACATATTTTTTTAAATAAGAAATAACACACAAGTATACAGATTTAAAGAATTCAAGTTTCCCTGTCTCTCAATCCCATTCTACACAGGTAACCACTGTGAAAACTATATGATTATAGCTTTTCACACTTTTTTAAACATTTGTTCTTCTGCTGTGCTATGTTATAAGGTACAGTATATTTTTTCTAAATATATATACACACAGATGTATAACAAGTCATTCTAATTATATTATTCCACAACTTGCTTTTTTCCAAATAATTCACTTCTTTAACTTTCATTAAATTATAACGACCAAACACCAAAGTTTCGTATTGTTGTTCCTTATAATTATATTTTTATTACAGCAAAGGATAGAAATTAGAACCAAACAAAGGAAGATACTCATAGGGCAAAGTCTGGGACAGTTCTAAATTGGGAGCTTTCTTCATCCTCAGGGATGTGTCACTCCCCTGGCAAAGAGTGTGGCCAACCATGGAGCCCCACCTGGGCCTTTGGTGCCCAGTTTTTATTGGGGCTTAAGCACATGCTGCCTGTGTGGTTGATCTGTAGCCTTTAATATCTTCTACAGGTTTGCACTGATACCTTCACTCTCCAGGTTGGAGCTGAGGTAGCTATTCCAAAGCCTGTATCATAAATCACATTGTTTGACCAGCTTGGGGACAGAGCCCCCAGACAAGCGTAGACACTTCTATCAGGCAGCATCCTGGCCTAGATATAATTTCTCAGTAGCTGGGGCAATAGCCAGATCTCTCTTCAGGTAAATTCTTCACCACACAGATGGCGTATGAATAAATGGAGCAACTGTGGATTTTTGCACTATACTCTTTCTCATATACAAAGACCTTATTTAGGAATAGCCATTGTTGCTAAAAAATAATGCATGTTTTGACTGGTTTTAATACAAATTTGGCTTTTCTAACAAGGTCCCAAAATAACAGTGGTTCTTAGATAATAAAAGTCAGTTTCTCTGTCATGAGTCTGGAAGTCTGAATTGCCTGCAAAGCTGTGAGGTGCCCAGAACAGCTGGGAAATACCCATGTGGTTGGGAATGTTTGGGAGAAGGGTTATTTCTCCCATTCATAAGATGTTGCCCTTATCTGCCTGTTTCAAGACAGTTGCCTACTTCTTCCTTCAGAGAAGGAATTTTACTTTTCCTTAAAAGCACAGTGCAGAAGTTGCTATTATCAGCTATACTCATGTTTCATTGGCCAGAACCTAGCTATGTGGTTGGGAAGTGTAGTCCTTGCTAGATGCCACTTGCTCAGCTGATAAGTCAACTATTATGGAATAATAATATAGAAGAGAATGACTTAGTAATCCACTTTTAATTGATTATTCCAATCAGAAAAGTTAAAAACTATTTTGATGTAGGAGCCAAAAGAAATTATAAAAGAAACTCAGTTTGTAATTAATGAAAAATAACCTAGACTGATATACCTTTTTGTGATAAACATAAATTTTCATTGATCTTTGTTTTATTTTCTTTCATTTTGTTAACCAGACTGTCCTATGTGGAATGGGGGAGTTACATATTGAGATTATTCATGACCGCATCAAGAGGGAATACGGCCTGGAAACCTACCTGGGGCCTCTTCAGGTGGCATACCGAGAGACCATCCTAAATCCAGTTCGTGCCACAGGTAGAAATAAAAACTTTTGCTGTTTTTTTTCTCTCTTTCTCTCTAGGATCTCTTTTCTGAATCTCTTAATTTAGTTGTAAGCAGAATTCACAGTCACTAGTGTTTTCCATCAATGGGGATAGGTTTTATATGTGTGTTTTCTTGTTTTTTAGGATTTACAAATTTTAAACACAGCCCTATTCCATTGCCACTCATTGCACTTACTGGATGAGCCATTCACCAAGCAGATGTGCTTTTTGGTAGTCATGGACTAGAATGAGCCATTGAAGTAGAGGGCTCATCCCCATCCTTACTACCCGAATGAGTATATAAATTTGAAGTTGAATCAGATGCATTCAAAAGAAAAAGGACTACTATATATGTGAAACTTTCTTTTTCATAAACCTAAAGGTACCCACACACAAAAAACCCTGAACTGAGACATATAGATAGCTTTTAAAAAAGGAAACAGAGAAATGAAGTTGATGTGTTATTTTTGCTCTATAAATAGTGAGCAGAAAGTAATTTCCACTGTTTAATAAATATGGTAATCCTATGCTAATGAAAGTGCAGTTTTTATATTTCTGTCACAAAATGTAAGAATTCATGATTCATTATTTTAATTCAATTCCCTTAAGCAAAGGAACATGACATTATTACTGGTCTTCCCAAGGAGAAAACAGACAGGTAGAGAAAAGATTTTAAATGTAACCAGGTGCTCTTAAGCCACTCAGTGATTTCCAAAAAGGGCAGGTGGTTACTTTTCACTAAAAGTTGAAAAACTAAACAAATAGAGTATAGGAGCAAATGACATGAGGATTTCTGTTTCTGAGCTTTATATCCATAAAAACTAAAAATACTGGGAACATGTTAAGTGACATCTTTAAAATTAATGTCTCAGCTGGTTAGTAATAATGGAAATTTCCAGGGGTCAAAAAGGAAGCTGGAGCAGGAATCTTGTAAAATAAGTCGGCACCAATGCCACTAGCTGTTCTGGGGGGATCTGTGGTCACTTCTAAACTAGGAAATAATTAACTAGGAAAGTCCTAACTAGGAATCACACAATGAAATACTATGCACACAGCAGAGAGAAAGAAGGAGCTCCTACCCTTTTCGACAGCATGGATGGAACTGGACAGCATTATGCTAAGTGAAATAAGCCAGGCAGTGAGGGACAAATACCATATGATCTCACCTTTAACAGGAGCCGAGTAAACAAAAGAAAAAGGCAAGCAAAATATAACCAGAGACATTGAAATTAAGAATACTCTAACAATAGCCAGGAGAGTGGGGGGAGGTGACAATGGGGAGAAAGGTTTTCAGGAACTACTATAAAGGACACATGGACAAAACCAAGGGGGAGGGTGGAAGCAAGGGAGGGAGGGAGTTTTGGCTGGGGTAGGGGGAGTGGTGGGGGGAAAATGCAGACAACTGTAATTGAACCATAATAAAATAATTTTTAAAAAAGAAATAAAGGAGAATACAAAGTATTGGTAAGAAACAAAAGACTCAAAAATATGCAGGCAATGGAACATCATGTGTGTAAGAAGAAATGCTCAACAACAAAAAAAATGATGAGGGCATGTCATAAGGACATAGGAATTAACTTGAAGAGGCTCCCCTGGCCAAATCTGGTCAATTTGAGCACCAGAATAATTACGTAAACACAGTAATTATAAACCATTGAGAAAGAGCAGGAATTCATGAGTCTCTAATGATAATAAACAAATACATGAGGAAGAAGAGAGGGTTCTTTCCCTCTCTTTCTTACAGTGGAATGCCAAGTGCTGTTAGTTGTTGAGGAGGCAGGAAAATAGTCATTTTGCAACTGTTGTGAATACTTAATATTGATTGGCCACATTGCACGGTTTTAAAGTATCTGCCCACTGATTGCTTATTAGTTGCAAAGTAAAAACATAGTACCTAGATGTTTTAGCAATCAGATCACCCCTTGACTAGATGATCGAATCACTAGTGATACTGATGGGCAGATTGACATTGTGTGCATGCAGAAAACTACAGACATTAAAAATGACCTGAGATGGAAAATTGTGCTATTCATAGAAGAGAAGACTAAATATCATAAAGCTACCAATTCCACCCAAAGAAGTGTACAAGATATTAATACTTATTGTGAAGCCATAGTCTTTATGATACTAATCAACCTATAAATAGACAAATAGACCAGTGCAACAAATCAGAAAGCCTAGAAACAGACTCATACATAATGTGGAAATTTGGTTTATGTCAGAGTGATATTGCAGCTCAGGGGGAAAGGATAGACTGACTATTTGATAATGCTGTGGGATAATTATCCATATGAAAAAAGATTTAATTAGATTCCTACTTCATACCATATACAAAAGTTAATTCCAAATGAGTTTAAAAACCTAAATATGAAAGAAGAGTAGCAAAATTTCCCTTGGAGCACAAATTATAAGGAAAATAAGTGCTAGCCCTGGCTGGATAGCTCATTTGGTTAGAACATCATCCTAATACACCAAGGTTGTGGGTTTGATTCCTGGTCAGGGCACATATAAGAAGCAGTCAATGAATGCTTGAATAAGTGCAACAACAAATTGATGTTCCTCTTTCTTTCTCTCAAACCAATCCATAAAAATAAATATGTATTTTTTAAAAAATGAAAGTAAGTGCTAAATATATGCAAAAAAAAAGCCATAAACTTTATGATAGACAAATCTTAAAATTTTTGGAAGAAAATGTAGGAGAATTGCCTTACTAACTAGGATAGGGTTGCACTTACAAAAGAAGAGCTGTAGACTGTTATTAATTCTTAGTTTTGAATTTGGGCCGTGAATCATTGCATTACATGGTCATTCATATAAATACGGCATAGTTCATTTTAGTAAAATACTGCAGATTGGTGACAGGTATTGGTTGTTGGTTAATGAGAGACACTGTTTTCAGTTTTACAAAAAAACATTTCACTAGTTTTTTTTTGGAAAGCATAAACTTTAAATGCATGTAATATTACTAGAAGAATATATGAAATTTAAGTTTTTAGGTTAGCAGGGTTAATGTCCTTTTAATTTTCATTATATGACATTTTTCACTCTAAATGTTTTACTTTTAAATACAACTTTTGTTATTAAAAGAATTTTACATAGATGTTTCAAAAAGCTTGAGTGTAATCTGCTTATCAAAATTTGTGTGATCATCTGCCTCAAAGCATCTTGTTTTTAAAAGATATTATTTAATTTTTAGAGAGGGGGAAAGGGAATGAACAAGAGGGGGAGAAAAACACCAATCAATTGCCTATTTTATGTACTCCAAACAGGGACTGAACCCACAACCCAGGCCTGGGTTGGATCCAGGCCCTGACCTGAAATCAAACCAGCAGCCTTTCACTTTGTGGGACAATACCCAACCAACTGAGCCACACTGGTCGGGGCTGTCTCAAAGCAACTTAACTAAAGCAATATTAATAGGTGATTCAGAGCAGGTTTTTAACATTGATGAACATGGAAGCAGATACTTTCTTGGTAGAAGTACTTTGACATTTTTATACTGTACTTAGTGTCCTTGTAAACATTTTCTCCCACTTTGTATTTCATGAGAGCGTGAACTTGCTAATTGCAGTTTTCCAAGTAGTGGCACCTTGACACCTTTTCAGAACAGATCTCTGAGGTACTACATTCAATTTGTTTACAGATACCTTAGATAGAACTTTAGGAGACAAACGGCATCTTGTGACTGTGGAACTGGAAGTAAAACCAATGGAAACATCATCTGTTACACCAGTTATTGAGTATGCTGAAAGTGTTAGTGAAGACATTTTGAAGGCCTCCCGCGAGGCCATTGAGAATGGAATTCACAGTGCATGCCTCCAAGGTAAGGTACGCAGGTGAGAGTAAGCATGAGTATCACACTCAACCATTCAGTCACTCCCAATACTACACATTATTTCAGTCTTTTTCCTAACTTTGGTAAAGTTTTCTCCTTTTCTCTTCCTATTATGTGTGTGTTATACCTTTTGTAAGTATTACATAGTCCTTGGATATTCTGCTCTATTTTTTCAGTCTTCTGTTCACTTTGCTTTTCAGTTTTGGAGGTTTCTGCTAATTATATAATTGAGAGTCCTTCCTCAGCCCAGTCCAGTCTACTTATAAGCCCATCAGAAGCATTCTTATTTCTGTTACAATGTTTTTGTACTCCAGCATTTCTGTTTGGATTCTTGTTGCTTTTTATATTCTCACCCAAGGACATGTTCATTTATTTATTTTTTTCTTTTTTTAGAGAGAGGGGAAGGGAGAAATAGAGAGAGACATTGATTGAGAGAGAAACATTGATCAAGACGTGTCCTGTACGAGGCTTGTCTGGAGATTGAACCCGCAACCTAGGCATGTGCCCTGACTAGGAATGGAATCTGCAAACTTTTGGTGTACAAAATAGTACTCCAACCAACTGAGCCACCCAGCCAAGGCTCTGTTTGCTTCTTTCTCAGGACTTCCATCCCTCTGCTTTCAATGCCCATTCATTCTTGCATGTTGTCTGCTTGATTGGTTAGAGCCCTTAGCATGTTAATCATAGTTGTTCTGTGTTCCTGGTCTGATCATTCCAACATCCTTGCTATGTCTGATTCTGATGCTTGTTCTGTCTATTCAAATTGTGTATTTTGCCTTTTAGTATGCCTTGTAATTTTTTCTTGATAGCTGGACATGAGGTACTGGGTAAAAGGAATTACTGTAAACAGGTATTTGGTAATGTGGTGGTTTGGTGTGGGAGATGGGAAGCATCCTGTAGCCCTGGGATTAGGTCTCAGTCTTTTAGTAAGCCTGTGCCTCTGGACTGTGAACTGCACAAGTGTTTCTTAGTTTTGTTTTGTTTCCATCCACCTTAGGTGGGACACAGTGGCCAGAGCGAACTGGAATAGGGTACTTCCTGCATCAGGCTCTGACGATGATCTCCTTGCAGGTTAGGTTCTGGTTAACTAGGTTCCCCTGAGGGCAGGCCTTGTTAAGGACAGAGTGCTCTGGCCCTCGTCAGTTGGTTAGAGCATCATCCTGATACACTAAGGTTGCAGGTTTGATCCCTGGACAGGGCACATACTAGAGTCAGCTAAGTAATGCATCAGTAAGTGGCACAGCAAATCGATGTTTTTTTCTCTCTCTAAAAATCAGTAATAATAATAATAAAACCAGAGTGCTCTGAAGTACTGTTTTTTATTTGAAGTTGGTTGAATCCACAGATGTGAAACCAGTGGATACAAAAAAAGAGAAGAGTCGACTCTTAAGTTTTGGAGGTGTCAAGAGTTATTTATACACAGATTTTCATCTGCTTAGGGGTCAGTTCTTTTAAGTCCCCATGTTGTTCAAGGGTCAGCTGTATTTCAGAATGGTTTCTTTTCCCCTTCCTCCATCAGAAGCACAAGAAGACTTTTCTCTGATATTTACTGTAAGAATCTGTTTGAGCTGCTAGAGGTAAATCTCACAAAACTATGTCCCCTGCTTTTGCCCACCCCTTCAAAAGACCAGGTACCCCTGGAGTTTTTAACTCTCAAACTTGTCCACACTGAGCCTCCAGCAATTTATCAATTACAGTTCAGGTTTTCCTACCTCAGTGCTGGTTCCTGGGACATACTCTATCAGTGAATCTCTGCTCCAGGAAGCTTTGACTCCCTGTGTTGGCCTTCTCTCCATTCTTGGGGGTGGTGGTTTGCCCTGTGTTCTCCCCTCTCTTACAGAACCAAGAAGAGTTGTTTTGTCAGTCTGTTTTTCCTTTACTTGTTAGGACTGAGTGATGACTTCCAAGTTCCTCACATGCCGGACTGGGAACGAAATCCTCTCCCTCTTTCTTTACATTTCTCAGCTACTCCTCACTGCATCTTGAGTCCTAACACAAATGTTCTTCCTTGCCTAGGACCATTGCTTGGATCTCCAGTTCAAGATGTGGCAATTACTTTACATTCACTGATAATTCATCCTGGTACCTCCTCAACTATGATTTCTGCCTGTGTCTCAAGATGTATACAAAAGGTATATACCCACCCTGGTGCTTTTTGCTTTAAAGTGACTCTCCTGACAGTGGTGCTCATTGACCTGCAGACAGCCATAGTGCCGACCTTGTGTCTTTGCGTCCTGAGCCTTGCAGTCAGTGAGAGTTTTTTTTACCATGAAGAATCTTTAATTTCTTTAATCACCAGGGTTTTATTTGCGAGATGATCTAAGAACTTACTGTTTAACATAGCTAGCTATGAGATACCCTCTGATTTTGGCATATAGGCAGATTTCCTTAAGTGGCAACTTTGCTTTCCCCATCCCAGACACAAAGCTACCGCACTGTGAGATCGGTTCCAAGGTGCCTGCATTGAAGGGGACTGAGGCGTCATTGTCCTATGTACAATGTTCTTGTATCTTGTCTCTTCTTCAATAAATGTCTCCATTTTTCATGTTACATGACTGATACCTTCTGGACAGACCTCATAGGTTGAAGTTCATACATTTTTAAAAGTTTTTTGATTAACTAACTATACTCATAAAAATAAAATTATTGATATTGTTTGCCTAAGCATATAGTTAGAAATATCACCTATAGTCATGATTAAATTGTTAAAAAACATTTACCTTCTGGTAATTTTTAAAGTTCTCCTGAAATTGGCTTTAATGTTGAAGTAGTGGAAACCTGAAAGATGAGTAAGTTTCTAAATTAATCCCAAGCCCCAATATATTGGCCAAGCCTTCAAAATCTAATATGCCTTCTAAAAATAAAATTGTAAGTATTTGGGAGTTCTTTAGCCTTTCTATTAAAATCATACTAGAAAACAATTAACTTCATAGGGCCTTACACTTAATCTTTAGTTTTAATTCATTACTTCAAATGAAATACTCCTAATGGAAGTACTCCAGCCCTTGTTAAGCTTTAGCTAGTGGGGAAGCTCCTCCCCTGCTTATGAGAAGTTAGTGATGCTTCATGTATTTATTGAGCCATCCGTGCTGTGCTTACAGTGCCCTGAAATGGACATATAAGACCCATGTTTTTCTTGACCATTAGGAGCTTTAGATTTAAAAGGGAATTAAATATAGCCAGTAGCCAAAATATTACATAGAATAAACCATAAAAGCTGAGAAGTACAATTTGGGTAGGATTATTGGAAAGAAATTAATATTTGAGCTGTGATGATTTGGTGAATTTGGGCTCCATGGGGAGCATTCCAGACAGGGAGAAATTAAAGAGTCCCATTAGTTGTAGGTATCAGATGAAGGCAGGAAAGTAGTGAAAAATAATGTTAGAAAAGTAAAATAAAGTTAAACTGTAGAGAAACCTTTTAAAAGTATAGGAGTTTGAGGTTTGTTTTGAGAACAGTGATGAATAAGTTTGAAGAGGGCAGTATAATCATTAGCATCCAGGAGGGACTGGAGTAGAGAAGCGCTAGTTTAGGACCAGGAGTGGACTGAGCCAGTCCTGAACTAGGACCACAGGCACGGACATGGGAGTGCAATGGGAATGCAAGTCTTGCAGGTTACCGTTATTTTGACATGTGTAATGTGGACCCATGTTTTTGGCCCAAACTTTCAGGAAAAAAATCTTTTGTTTTAATTTTTTAATGTTTATTTATATTTAGAAGCAAAACTGTTGATCATATCTGGGGTATTATTTTGCATACAGATATTATTACTTTCTAGAGTTATACTTTTAATACATAAGCATAAATAAAAATTAAAAGCATTTATATAGATACAGAATTAATGCTACCCATGTATAATGCTCATCCTTATTTTTCCCTCAAAAGTTATAATGGGCCAAAAAGGGCACATTATAATACACAGCAAAATGTGGGCTTGGGGAAGAGGCAGTCAAAGATGCACATCCAGGTGAATGAAGACTGGTGATGCCATCAGTAGAAATAGGAAAGAATAGACAAGAGGGCTGCAAAAGAGAATGATGAGCTCAGTTTGGGTTGCTGTAGGTAGGCTATTGAGACACTGTCCTGAAGTAGGTCAGTGTAGTACAAGGCCAGAACACTCGGAGACTGGGAGCTGATGAAGTTTAAAGCTTTTGAGGAAGCTATGCAAAGACATTTGAAGTTCTGCAGTGAGGCAGTGTCACCAAAGAAAAGATTGTGAGGAGAAAAGAGGACTGAGGACAAATCCATGAGCACAGCATATCCTATTAAAGTTACACAGAACTCCATGTTTCCCTTAGTTGTAGCATTTTTGTCCTCTTAATTTTTACCTTTCCCTACTCCATTATTTTGTTCTAAAAGACATGCAAACTGGCACAAAACTCTCAGTAAGAACTGACAAAATACAGAGGGTATAAAGGTTAGGTGTTTGCTGTTGACTGTCATTATTGTTAGTAACATTTTTCATTCAAAGACTATTAGATACCTTTTCATAGCTGTCATTTCAGCAGGTAATGACTTTAAAGGCTTAATTAGCTATGAAGAACTGAAAGATTGTTTTACTATGTGGTACTGTTTTGAAATTTCTGTGATAAACAGAATATACTCTTAGTTTTACTAAACTGTCCATTTTTCATGACTGTGAGAGTAAATAGGGAAGGGAGAAAGGAGGCATTGAGTTATCAGGGACAGAAGGGTTAGAGACCCAGAAGCGATCTTTGACAGCATAGGTGATGCAAATGGCCCCATCGAAGGCCTTAGAGATAGTGAGAAGCGAGTGGTTCGGTGGGAGCAGAAAGAAGGATGATCAGCCAAACTCAGATAAAGGTGAGGGCACATTCCAGAGCCAAACTCTCTTGTTTATGTGGTTCCCATTGCTAACCCTAAATTTATTACATCCCACCTGATGACCAAACAGAGGCTCAGCATTTATAGGTTGCTCTTCTGTTACTTTTTGAAGTCTGGCAGGTTGGAGTAGGGTAGCTTTTTAAATCAAACTCACCAGTACTTAATGGTATTTGCAGACTCCATCCAAAGCCCACTTAACAGGTTGTTTGGCAAAACGATCCTGTTAAAGATGCTGTCTGCCTGGTGGCCCCAATAAGTCTTCTTTATGTTACTCTACTTCCTTGGTTTTTGTGCACTTTCTACTTGCCCTACACTGTTTTTGATTTTTTCAATTTCCATATTCTTTTTTTTATGTGCTTGTTCTTCTTGGTCTTTGAAATCTAAAATTCTGAACAGATAATCTACAGGAATGGGCAAAAGTCGGTTTATAGTTGTATGGAAATTAATAAATAATAATACAAGAATACACTGTGTTTCACGTATTCACAACTGTAAACCTACCTTAGCCAACCCCATATTATAAATAAATGACGTGTTTCTACCACATTATTGTGTTAAATTTCTCTTTATTTTAAGCTCTCCCTTTTGTTTCCCTCTTTGATTGCCCTGACATGTGTCATGGATTGTAACTATAGGCATCAGGAACAAAACAGGACGTTTAAATGTGAAGAGTGAGTCTTTGATTTAAGGCTTGTTTTCTTTCGCTGCACCTCTGACCACATACGTCCAGGTGCTCTGTGTGATGCGGCTCCCTTAGCACCCCCTTGCCCACTCCACACGAGAACTCGGACGTACTGTCGCCCACTTACAAGTAAATATTGACATTTTTCACTTCTTATAAAATGTTATCTTTATAGAGTTAAAGTAGGTATATTTCTTTTTCCCAGGGCATGGGAAGTATTCATTTTTAATGAATTTTTTAACAGAAATTTGATTTCCAATTTAGGGAAGAGGAAGTAACATTCTTTGATTTTTCTTAGGCTCTGAAGAAAGCTGATAAGCAAGTCTTAGAGCCCCTGATGAATCTTGAGGTTACAGTGACTAGAGATTACCTGAGCCCTGTCCTGGCAGATCTGGCACAAAGACGAGGGAACATTCAGGAAATCCAGACTCGTCAGGACAACAGAGTTGTTATTGGATTTGTTCCCTTAGCAGAAATTATGGTAGGTACTTTGTGATTGAAAAGTACATATTCTCTTTTTTTTTTTTTTAGTATGGGGGATATTTACGCTAAGCATAAACAATCAGTGACACCTGAAAGAAGCATCAGGGCTTTGATCTGGCAGATGCATGTTAGGTTTCAGCCTCTGGGAACTGTGAGGACTCTGGATTTAATTGTAGGGGAACCCAGGGCACCTCAGTAGCTTGGGGACCGTTTCAGTCCTCCACAGCAGCAGAGTGTGCTGTACCGAAGTGTGGCACCAGCCCACCATTGTTTCCCTTTCAAGCCTTTACCCTGTTTCTGTAATGGCCAGTTTTCAGGCAAGTGTCATTCTCCCCACCAGCCTCCTCTACTCTAGAACAAGCACCTAGGTGCTGGGAGAGTCCTCTTACCAGCTGCTGGGACCAGGGAACACATCTGAAGCATACCCACACTACTGTCTTCTGTCCTCACAATATTTCTACACCAGACTTTTCCTGAGAAACGTAATTGAGTGACCCATTTGAAGAAGTGATATGGTTAAGTTACATAATCACTTCCTGGTAATGGTCCAATGATAAGCAGCAGGAAGAGAAACTTGAGGCTTCAATTGGATGAGATAACTGATTTAAATTATTTTGATTAGGGTTATTCAACTGTGCTTCGGACGCTAACATCGGGCTCAGCTACCTTTGCCCTAGAACTGTCTAATTATCAAGCCATGAACCCTCAAGACCAAAGTACACTGCTCAGCCGTAGAAGTGGATTGACCTAAGTGCTTCTAGGTCCTTGGACAGAAATTGAGGAGCACCTACCTATTCGTTATCAGTAAGGACAATTTTTATTGCTTTATTTATTGGACAAATTACTGTTGGACTACATTCAAAGAATTGAAAGCGGTAACTTAAAGCTGACAGTGGCACTGTGGCTGCCCATTCTACTTTATGTCATGAGAAGTGTGCTCTAATGTTGAAAGTTAATATACCCGAACTACATGTGTATATATGAGGTCGTTAATGTCAGTAAACACGCGGCCCTTTGGAATATATTGAATGATATATTTTGTTGTTACTTTTTTAAGATTCTCTCACAGAAGGTTGCCAGTCTTCTATATATAATGTAGAAGATAGAATTTCAAGCAATACAAATATATTTTATTCAAAAACAATATACCAAATCTTAATTTACATGATTTCAAAACCAAGTCGATGGTGGCATGTTGCTGTGGGCTGGTTCCCCTTCTTGTTTCAGCTCAGATGTCACAATACCCAGTAAAGAGGGGCTCTGCAGCTATTCCACGTCTGTAGAGGACAAAGGACAAATGAAAGATTATTTTAGATTGCCCCAATTCATCTCCATCTTAAAGAACTTAGTAGCTTAAGTCAGAATCACCAACTATAGCACTAATTACTGAAAAAATATTGTTAAAGTAAATCAAGATGGATGTCCAAGTCACACCTAAATTTAGTATAGCTATAAAACGGTTGTAAGTTCAAATATACTTTCTCTTTATAGGTATGCCCAATTTTTTTTCTAATTAAATCACTACTTCTTAGGTGACATACATTTGTATTTATAGCAGAAATACCCAAGAAGCTAGCTAACACTAAGGCTAAAAATCACCCTGGACTCAGTAGTATCCTAGCTTGAAAAAGAGTCTTACCTGAGCATTCTGCAGCGGTGAACTGTTAGTCTGTTGTAGGCGTCATCTACGTTTCTGATCTCTTTCTGACTCCAGAGTCTCTCACCAACAGCACTTGCCCGAGGCCTAAATTTAAACCGCATGTTTCCCAAAGCAGTTTTAATTCATGTTTTCTTAAAGAAGTATCTGAATTATACATTTGGGGAAATTCCTAATGCTTTCCAACTTGGATAGAAAAGGAAAATTAAGGCACCTTAATTCAAATGTCATCACTGAAATTCCATACCATAGTCTCGGAGTGAGGTTAGTTGCATCCACATATTCTCCCCATAGACAAGCTTCTCCACCAAGGACAAGTTGTTTCTGCTGCTGAGAACCTACATTAAAATCAGTGCATCAGTGTAAGTTAAGTGATTGTGACTTAGGGCTTATATACAGAGGCAGCACTGGTCTCTCCTTCTGTCGCTGTCCCAGGGCGACACTTTCCTCCCACAGTCAGCGGGGCCCTGGCAGATGTTCGCGGCAGGGGTGTTGTATTCTCACCCCAGCCCTGTGGTGCACACGGTGCTTTTCAGCAGGTGCCGGTGTGAAGACACTGGTTTACAAACTGATTCGGTCACCAGAAACTTTTTTCCCCCTGTGAATAGTGTGCCAGGGAATAGAAGCTGGAATACTAGGGACTACCACTCCTGCCTTTAATATCTATCTCTTGGTAGTAAAAAAGAGACTAAGTATCTAATATTTTGTTTTATAGTAATTATGACTTTGATCTTCAGAAAAAACTTTCCAGAGAAAGTTAGGTCAATTCCTAACAGACCTATAGTCTTGAAATTTTTTTAAACAGCAAAATCCTTTTTCTCAAAATTTTATATTAAGTCTAGTATACAAAACAGGACAGAGTAGAACTGATCTTAACAAAGAGGGTCTGGGAGCCTGAAGCTCCCTCTGCGCCTGCTCCCCAGAACCTTAAGACTTCACAGCTGGAAATGCACTGAACTAGACTGCAGCCCTGCTGAGGTGTCTTACATTGGAGAGGCAGTTCAGAAGAGGAGATGCAAGGTTAACATAGTCAAACATCTTTAAAATGCAGAGAGTAACCAGACTCACCTGTAAAAATGGAGATAAAATCTAAGGGGATCTACTTTTCAAGTTCTTTTATTTAGGTAAAGATTTGGTTTCTTTCACAAAGTTTCAAATGATACTGAGGCCCTTCTTTTTAAGTAAACACAAATAAAATCAAGGATTAAACATAAAGGGAGGCTGGTTAGTAGGTAATATCTAGGTAAGGATTTCCTTGTGGGAGGATAGGGAAGAAAATCAGGATAATGCTGGTTGCTTCACTTACCTCCAAAATCAAGAGGCTCCACGTTATAGTATTTTATCCAATCTTGTCCATAACTGATATAGTCTAAGTACCACGGAGCAGAAAGGAGCACAGGGAAGCCAGCTTCTGTGACTACCTTTAGTTCATTAGTATACTGGCTCTGTTTCCATACTTGAATGATAGTGCCTTGCTGAAGCTATTAAAATTAAAAATTGCAATATATATTGTTAGGTCTACCAAATACAGTACGTGAAATTTAAAGTCCAAGATTTATAACTAGAAAAATCACTTTAAGATCCTTCAAAAACCACATGCATCATCTCCTTTCCCCTTTCCCCTCAGAGTTAGTGCCAAATGCTGTTCCTTATAAGCAACTTAAAATTAGAAGTTGCATTAACCTTCAGGCTGGATATTTAACATTTGTGTGTTTATGACACCATGTAGGTGTAATGAACCAAGGCTTTAGTCCCATCTCTACCACACTGTTGGTGTAGGTACTCTGAAACTGTGAGGATGTCACCAGCCCTTCTGGAAAGGGAATACTAATAGCTGGACTTGCAAATTCTCAGGTGCCCCAAAGGAAAATAAAGAATTCTATGTTAGAGAGATGCCATTTAAAGTAAAAAGTATACGTTGATAATTTTACTTAAAACTACCTTACTAGCAATAAAGACTCATTTGTTCTTATCTGTTTATTTCTCCCTTTCCTGAAAAAAAAAAAAAGAACTTACTTCAAAGTACTTCAATTTGTGATTAATGAGATGGGGGGGAGTGATGAGAAGGAGGCACTAAAGAGTGAGGTAAATGGGAAAAAAGAAACAAACACCATTCACACTAGGCTCAGTCCACAGCTATTGCCTAATGAAAGTTTAAATGGAAAAGGAAGTTAATTTCCCCAGCATTAGGGAGTGCTTCCTAAGGGTTTGTTACATCCAGGATGTTAGAATATCAAGCCTCTCAGATTATCAGAATCAAATGCAGTCTTCATACTTCTCACCTTCACATTTTCATCAAAAACCTCTTGCCAGACGATGGATCCTTTCTTTAGGGTTGAAATAATATCCAAAAGCCTACCATTGATAAAAAAAAACTTTAAGTTATTTTGGATCATAAGGTTAATAATCTGCATATTTTCTACCATGGACTGCAGTATTCATAAGTACCTTTCAGTACAGCACAGCTTTATCGCAGAACCAGCTAAATGTGCGTGGGAAGCCATGCGGCTCCTTTCTAGGACGTGGCTCAGATGCTGCCACAGCAGAGGGGTTTAATAGTCATTTGCTGAATGAATGAGTCTTTAAGCATGGGAAGCATAAGTCTCCCCAGCATAGGAAGACATGTAAGTCACAAGGCAGTGTAGAAACAGCAATCTCTAGTAGTTTCATGGGTATCTTAGAATAAAAGAAACTATAATCTATTTTATAATGCCACTCTAAATAACATTCAGCAGTTGCTGACAGTTGGTCCACAAGTATGTCCTGATGTTTAGACGATGCCAGGTACTCTGCAGCATAAAAAAAATTAGAATGTGCCACATAACAAGCTAAATAGGAAAAGGCTGGAGTCTGGGCTTGCCCAGGACAGGGGTGGGCAAACTACAGCCTGAAGCCTGTTTTCTGTATGGCTCGTGAGCTGAGAATGATATTCATGTTTTGTAAAGTATTGTTTAAAAAATAAAAATGTATAACCAGGTGTGGCCCACAAAGCCTTAAATGTTCACTATCTGGCCATTACAGATAAAAGTTTACTGGTCCTTAGTGTACAGCAGCACTGCTCAGTGGAACTTTACGCAGGGATGCAAATGTTTTATACGTGTACTTTCCAGTATGGGAGCCTCTAACTAATGTCCTCCAGCTACTGAACACTTGAAATGTGGCTGATGTGACTAAGGAACTGAATTTTTAATTCCCTTTAATTTAAATGCAAACAGCTGCATGTGGCTATGGCTACCATACTGGATGGAATAGGTATAAAATATTTTTACAAAGCACCTGGAGTTGACACAAGGGAATGATTATAGGGACGAATGGTGAGGAAGACTTCGAAGGGTAGCCAGGCTTTTGGCTGAGTTCTTAGAGCATGTGACTCCCGTCCTGTATTTTAACAATTACTCACTGCAAAAGGCTTAGAGTTACCATATTACTGATTTGAAGAAAGCAGTGGATATTGCTATCTGTTATATGATTTTTTTCTCTTTTTTTTTAAGATTTTATTTATTTATTTTTAGAGAGGGAAGGGAGGGAGAAAGAGAGAGAGAGAGAAACATCAATGTGCGGTTGCTGGGGGTCATGGCCTGCAACCCAGGCATGTGCCCTGACACTGAACCTGTGACACTTTGGTTTGCAGCCCGCACTCAGTCCACAATCCACTGAGCTACACCAGCCAGGGCTTGTTATATGATTTTTTTTAAACAAAGTATACAACATTGAAACGTTAGCAAGGGGGCAGAGAAAATGAAAAAATAAAATAGTACTAGTTAATAGCTAAAACTATTACAAAAGGCATTGATGAAATAAAAACACAAGTAGGCTTTCAAGCAACTTACTTTTGAATATAGAAAGATTCTAGTTTTCTAAAATCTTTGCCAAAGCCTGTCTGCTTCATGAAATCCTGGATATTTGGATTGGACTCCCTTAAAAACATTGAACAATGATTAGTATTTCATTAAAAGTTTCATATGCCTAACCTATTTAAAGCAGCATACCTCCTTACCATCATTTGTGCTTAAAACTTTCAAAGTTGCAGCAGTTAAAATAAGCTTAAAAACTTAGTTATGAGTTATCTTTGTGTTCCATTGCAAATAATTTTTTCCAGAAGCTGATTTTTTGCAAAAATGGCTTTCCCTACCTCCTGCCTCCCTTCTCCACCTAAGGTTATTTGCAAAGAGAATTTTCCTTGAGAAACCTCCCCCACTTACTCACTGCCTTCTTTCACTAAAGCTGTTCTCATTCAATATTGTCTTTTTTTTTTAAATTTCCATTTTCTTCTGCATCTTGATTCACCTTCCTAAAAGCTTTTTTACTTTCTTACACCACCCCACACCTACCACCTCAGGAGCTACATTGTCAGGGTAAAGCCGTGCAAGTGGAGGTGTTGCCCCACATCTTCCCTCCTTATGTGAAGACCTTTACACTGACTTCACATGCAGTAGTTAGGAAAATGCAGGTTTGAAACAACTGTCATACCAACAGGCAAATTCCACTTCATCTCCTCCCAAGTGAATGAACGAGTCTGGAAATACCAAACTAATTTCTTTGAAAAATTTAGACAGGAAGCTGTAAGTTGTATTCAAAATAGGGTTTATAGGTCCAAAAGCCCCAGGCTGATATTGACTGTAACACGGAGTTAGGAGATCCTTCTGACCTGGAGGAAAACATGAAGAGTCTTTTCTTAAAAAGCATTTTAACCACAAAGACATGGCTTAGCACATAATTATACTGTTTTATTTTGTTGAAGCTACAAGAGATTTTATACAAAGAAAGATAAGCATGTTGCTATGGTTATTTCTTCCAAATAAGATGAGGGAAAATTGTCTCCTAAACCCTACCCCTGTACCTGTTTCCCTTTCCATCAGCCACTCTGAGATTTTATTCACTGCAAATATTATCTTGAATATTAATGACTCCCAAATCTTCAGCTTGCCCCAACCCTTTTTTCTTGAACTTCAATCCATATTTCAGATTCCCTGATGAACACAATTAGATATTTTATGTGCACTTCAAACACAATCTAACAAAAAACACATTTTCTGTTCCCTGAGCTCCTTCTGCAGCGTCCCCTGGTTTTGTGTAGTCTATAGCTCTTTCCTTGCCTCCTGGAGTCCGTTACCAAGTTCTGTGACTTGATGTTATATTCCAAAATGTCTCTCAGTTCTCTACATTATTTCACACTTCTGCCATCACCAGCCTGATCTAGGATTTCAGTTTCTTTTTCCTTCCATCGTGCCACTGTAGGTTTTCCCGAAGAGTGGCTCCCTCGTGTGACTCTTCAGCTCTGTACTGTTCACTGGTTTCTGTGTCCTGATGAGCCCACATTCCTCCCTCAAGGCCCTCTACATTGTACTTTCCAGACTTATTTCCCTTTATTCTCCATGTCTACAGTAATAATATTTGCTGAACAATTATGTTAGATGATATGCTGTGTGCTCTACATTCATTATTTAATCCTCAAAAAAAATATATATATATATATATATATATTATAGCTACTGCTAATACAACCCATTCTAGAGATGGGGAAACTGAGGATGAGGTATTCTATAACTTGCCCAAGGTCACTCAGTTTATAAATGGCAGAAGCAGGACTCAAACCCAGGCAGTCTAGACCCAGGCAGTCTGGCTCCAGAGCCAGTTCGCAGCCTCCCTGCAGTGAAAACCCCCCCTACCCTGCTGCACTGAACTCTGGCTGAATGCCTTTCCTGTGTCGTTCCCTCTGCTGGAAACACGACTGTATTCTTGGACTTCTGGAAAGCGTTTTGAATGTTACCTCATGAAACCATTTCTTGAATTCACTTACTATGTTCTACTTGTTGTAGTCATTTTTTGTTTCCATTGTCCCTTGTTTTTACTCTTTAGGCAGCGCCCAGACACAGTGAGTTATTCACAACAGACACATACCAGGTATTGAATTATGTCTGTCAATAGTGCTACCTTTTGTGTAAATCACAACTAAGAATAAAATGAGCAAACACCAAGTCATAAAATAAGAGGTGCAGAACCTCCATTTTTCCCTTTTGGGAACTCATAAAACACTTACCTTTCCCCCAAGACTGTGTGTGTCCAGGGGTATCAAATTCTGGTATGACTCGAATCCCCCGTAATCGGGCATATTCAATCAGCATACGGACTTCATTTGGTGTATAAACATGAGAAAAAGAATAGCTTCCCTGTAAAAGCCCCATTGATTAAAATTAAAATGTTTGAAATGGATTTGGTCCTGAAAACTGTTAACAGTTCTGTTTTTAGTTTGATATTTCATAGCTGACTTTTCCAAGATCACAATGTATTAAGTAGTTCTGTGTGATGTTGGATAACTCATTTAAATTGTTTGCCAGATCTTACCCGTAAGCTCTCAGCACACTTTAATTCCACATTTACTGATAGAACTATCTATCTAAATGACAAATGACTTAACTTCATCAAAAAAGAACAAATTATAAGGAAAAAAAAGAGATGTGCACAGGTGGCCACCTAAAAGTCAAAAGAGAATTAGTAGACATACGAACTGACCACAAGTATGGAGCTTACTTGCATCCCAATGCAAAAAAAAAAAGTTTTTGTATTTATTTTTAAAGAAAAAGGCCTTGGAGAAATGTAAATAACGAGTGGCCATCTGGGTTTTTGTTAATTTTTTTAGCTATAGTAATGTTTTGTTTTGTTTTATAAATAGGCCTTTTCACAAATGATATGTGACATCTTGAATTTGCTTCAAAATAAAGGTGGGAAGAAGAATAGGTGATATAAGATTGACCATGTACTGACTATTAAAGCCAGGTGATGAGGACATGGAAATCCATTAAATTATTCTACTTCTGTATATGTTTAAAATTTTCCATAATAATAAGTAAATCAAAAGCAAACAAAAACAGCAGTGCTACTAGCATTTCAGCTGATGCTACTTTATAACACTGCAGAAAGCTTTGGAAGTATGGCCAGAGAGTAAAATTTTGAGTCCTGGCTCTACTCCTTTCTAACTGCAACTATGGACAAGGCACACAGCTGCTCAGTTAGCGTCTTCTATCACCGGGGGATTCAAGTGACGACATTGAGGCTCACTCCCAACTCCCCTGGTCCATAACACAACAATTTGAACACTTCTGAGACTACCATTGATTTCTAAGAAGCTCTCATTTCTAAAATTCCCTACTTCATGTAGTTTTTCAAAGAGGAAAAGAAATAGTTATTTAGAGAGTTCAAAATAATTGTTTAAAGCAAATACACAGTTGGACTACTTGAGAAATATAATTAACCTTATTTGAACATGAATGTGTCAGCTCTCATACATTCTTAAGGTTTTAAAATTTTATGTCTATAGCCCCTACAGATTGTTTACATTTATAATAACAATTATAAAAACAGAACAGTTTTATGGATCTAAAATGCTAAGCCACAGCCTATTAAAAAAAAAACCCCAAACATTTAAAACCATAAGTGTCTAACTTTTACACTTCTATCCATAAGAAACAACACTGAAGCTACAAACTTCTAGTGAAACTACCAAAAATTTTAGTAGACACACATGAATTACTCACTTTATTGCTTAACTCCGGGAAAGTGATGCTCTGATAGGGAAAAGACTGGTCATCAACTATGTGCCAGTGGAGAACATTAAACTTATTAAAAGCCATGGCATCCTGCAAAAAAAATGTTAAAAAATTATATACCACAGATAAAACACAATCCAATTTATGTATCTCCACTCAGGATTGTTTCCATGTGTGTGCTTCCTTTTAAATTTTTCAGCAAAGGATGTAGAAGAAGTTTTATTCTATACCTTATATAGTTTACATGGCACGTCACCTTTCAAAAATTCTTTACAGAATCTGTATTCATTCTAAACAGTAAGCTATAACTTTGCTCAACAGGGAAGGAGCAAGCTTATAAAGTCCCAGTGTGTACTTAGGGGTCAGCCAAGAATGGAAAATAGTTCTTGGCTGCTACTACAATGTTTGGAAATGGAGCAGAGGAAAAATGAGGCATTCATGTAACTACCACGGCTTATAATTCCCACAGTTCTGAGATTTGATTGCTAACCCTTCCTTACAAATAAAGGAAATACGGTACAATTTAAGAAATATGGTACACATAAAAGAAATGCAGTACAATTCCAATCAAAATTCTCAAAAGTTTTTGGGAAATAGACATGTTTACTCTGGAAGAATTAACAATACAATGTTTATATAAAATACAAATAGATTATTCAAAAAAGAAAAAATAATAAAGGGGAATATTTGCCCTGCAAGATAATCAGAATTTAAAGCCTTCCTTTTCCTTCATCAGGGCCAAAGGGATTGGCTGATGCGTTTCAGAAATGGCTTACATACGAGGTAACTATGCAAAGAAATGAGTATGTGGAGGATAATGGCAGGATCTGCATTATCAGAGAAGCATATTCCTTGTGGCTTTTTACCAGGAGATGGCAAAGGGACAGATAAATATTTTTAATGTTGGAGCCATAGGGTTATCACAACTGATCTTGCAGTTGTAAAGCAGGTGGGCATGGCTGTATTCCAGTAAAACGTCATTTGCAAAAGTAGGTGACAAGCTGGGTTTTGTCCTTGGGTTGTAGTATGTCAACCTTTGTACTGTAGATACTGAGATAAGTGCTGTTTTTTTTAGGAAATCCAAAAGGAAATATTAAGGGTATTGGAGCATGTTATTTGGAACTTGCATATGGTTTAAGAAAAATATGTTTAAATAGAGAGGAAGAATAAGACAAATATGACAAAATTTCTAAATTGAGTTGTTTAGGTAAACAGTACTTGGGAATCCTTTGCACTTTCCTTACAATTTCTGTAAGTTTGAATTACTTCAAAAATACAAAGAGAAAAAATCTTCTAAAGTTATAGGAATTAAAATCATCTGTAGTGGCCCAAGAAGATAAACTGGTAAATAGGACAGATTGAGAGTCCAGAAGCTGATTTGTGTATTTAAGGAATTTAGTATATTTGCTAGTCATGATATTGAAAGCAGTGGGGAAATTATAGATTGCTCAAAAATGATTGCTACAGGCTAACCTTTGGGAAAAAAATAATATTAAAATAATCACCTACAATACACTAAATTCTAACTGAATCAAGAATTTAATAAGAGAAATATAATATTAAAAGAAAATTCTGAGAGGCTATTTTTGTATTTATACCCTTGTTTTAGAGGCCTTTCTTAACATACCTCCCAACGTCAAAAACAATAACAGACAAGACTGAAAGATAATCAATTTATAAAATTAAAGCTTTTTAACTTTATAAAAATTAAAACTTCTACAGGCAAAAGACACTATATTATAAACATGGTTTAAAAATAAAATTTAGAAAACTTCACAACAATATGTGATGGATAAGAACATCATATAAACATAAGCAAATATAAAAGTATTACTGACACATCTATAAACAAATATAACAGTAAAGAGCTCTTAAGTCAACAATTAATGATCTAGAGGACAAAGTGGACATCAAAAATAAACTTTCAGTTTGCAGTGCAAAAAATACAAATAGCTAATAAGTGAAAGAGACTTATATTCACTAAAAGTGAAAGCAATACAAATTAAAACAAGGAACTATTTTATCACCAGGTTAGCAAAGAATATGGCAAAGGCGTGCGGCACTGTTGGCCCGGCGTGTGGTGCTGCAGCCTCACTAGAAGGCTGTCTGACGGTCCGCACCAAAAGATTACAAGTGCCCAGCTTTAAGCCCAGAGATTCTCTTCTAAGAATTTGTCCTCAGGAAATAACCCTGACAAGTGTGCAAATATAAAAGTGTTTACTCTGAAGTGTTGTTTGTGATAATGATACATGAACCTCGATGTCCATCAGCAGGAGACTGGTTAAATACATATCACAGTACATAAAAAAGAATATTCAGCTGTTTAAAAAGATGATGTAGAACTTATATACTGTCATAGAAAAAATGTCTGTAACAGTCTGTTTTAAAAGTAACAAAAGTATAATCCCATTTAAGTTTTTTTAAAAGTCACATTTGTTAATATTTCCATTTTTTAAGTCAAATGAGATAAATGGGACATAAAAACTTAGGTTCATCTTTGGTGAATTATGGGATACCTAGCTCTTACAACCTGAGGTTCCATATTTCTTTGAAACATTTCCCTAGGTATAAAGCAGCCCCCAGACTCAATGCCACTATAAAGAAAGTAAGTGGAGGTCACAAAACTAAAGGACGCTAACTAGAGGTAGAGTGACCACATATTTCTAACCAAAAGTCTAGACCCATGATTTGACAAATGGAAGTATACAAAGAGGGCCAATAGGAAGTATTAAAACAGTCTTTCTCTTAATCCTGGCTAAACTTGTTGAGTCCCCCCTTCTCCCCCTCCCCCATGAAAACAACAGGGTGATTCCCTAGGGGAGCCTCTACTAGCTGAGGAAATACACTTCACAAAGGAGAGAGGGAAGACAGCCCAGTGCTTATGCTTAGTACATGAAAAATGAATCCCCCATTCCAACCCGTATAATAGCATAAGTAACCAATCAACAACAACAACATAATAGGACACATCTTCAAAATATACAATGGATTAAAATAAAATAATTACCTACCAGAGTTTTAAGAATACTATTAACTGGCAGATAGTGTCTGGCTGTATCAATTAAAATTCCTCTATGAGGAAACCTTGGAGAATCATTAATGGTGGATTCATTGATGGTGAACTGTAAGACAAAATAAATTTTGATTTATTTTTAAAAGTTTCTCTTAAGCTTAATAACGACTACATCTGCCTATGCAAGTATTGGATTAAAAAAGATTAATTTAGAACAAAAAAAGGTGAAATTTACATTTATCATCTAAGATAAATATTTGGGGAGAAGAAACCTTCAGGAAGCAATAAATAGTTAAAAAGCTTGCATTTTTCTTGTAACAAATATGTCTATCCCAAAATGTTAGTAACGTGTGATAATCATACTTACAGCCCCGTAAGGATCTTGATAAATTAACTGGCTGAAGGTCTCTAGACCTAGGGAAAGTAAAACATACAATTTATTGCATACTTCATAAAATAAACTGAAACAATAAAAGTTGTACTATCCAAACAGAACCATAACCACGTAAGGCAAATAAAATTAAACATAGTGTTACACCCTTACCCTCTAACATATTTTCTAAAACTAAAGCTCAGTTCTGAAAAAATCCCTGTTGCTACTAATAAAAATGCTTTACTTCATTGTTCCCATGGCCTGTGTTTTGTTTGAATCATAAACATAAAAAAGAATAGCTATTTAAGAAAACAAAATACCAGTTTATATACATTTATAACATTATGAATAAGACTTTTTATGATAAAATATTACAGAAACTTTAGGAGGTACTTAAACTTAAAGAAGGCAGAAAGGCTCAAAGCGCCACCATGAAACTACAGTGGCCCCACTTGCAGTGTTTTACTCATAGCCACAAAAACTATCTCCTGAACATTTTTTTACTCAAGCAATTATTCCTTTAGTACTATATGTTACAGGACAGTTCCTCTAACTGGCCTTGTGTTTACTAAAATTTATTATTCTGACTAACAACTATATAGCCAGGGAAAAGTTTAACCTAAGAATAGTTCAAAGTTAGAAATGAGAGAGGAGCTGTTAAAACTGATACCATAAGAGACTACTAGGAACAATTATATGCCAACAAATTTGACAACTTAAAAGAAGTGGATAAATTCTTAGAAACATACAACCTACCAGGGCTAAAATTATGAAGAAATGGACAATCTGAACAGACTGATTACTAGGAAGGGGTTTGTATCAATAATAAAAAAACCTCTCAACAAATAAAAGTCCAGGACTAGAAGGCTTCATTGGTGAATTCTACCAAACATTTAAAGAAGAATTAATGCTAATCATTCTCAAATACCCCACAAAATATGAGAGGACGAAACATTTCCAAACACATTTTACAAGGCCAGCATTACCATGATACCAAAATCAGACAAGGACACGGGAAAAGAATATTACAGCCCCATGTCCCTGATGAACACAGGTGCAAAAATCCTCAACCAAATTCTCAAAGATTAGCAAACCAAATTCAGTAAGACATTAAAAGGGCTACACAGCATGATCAAGTGGAAGTTATTCCACAAGTGCGCAGATGGTTCAGCGTCTGCAAATCACTCCATGTGACACATCCAATAACAAGGTGCATGATCGTCTCAGGAGATGCCCAAAGAGCAGTTGAAAAATTTCAACATCCATTTATGACAAAAGCTCTCAACAAAGTGGGTATGGAGTAAACATACCTCAACATAATAATGGCCATTTGTGACAAATTCAGTAAAATTAGGGGATATAAAATCAATGTATAAAAATTTAATTTCTATACATAAATGACCAATTATCAGAGAAATTAAGAAAACAGTCCCATCAAGAAGAATAAAATAACCAAAGAATAAGCTTAACCAAGGAGCTAAAAGACCTCTACACTGAAAATGATGTTGATGAAAGAAATTGAAGAAAACACAAATAAATGGAAGGTTATTCCATGCTCATGGATTGGAAGAATTAATATCGTTAAAATGTTAAATCTTCCCAAAGCCATCTACATATTCAATGCAATCCCTTATCAAAGTTCCAATGGCATTTTTTCACAGAAATAGAACAAAGAATCCTAAAATTTGTAGATGCAACCACAAAACACCTCAAATAGCCAAAGCAATCTTGAGAAAGACAAACAAGGCATCACACTCTCTAATTTTATACTGTATTACAAAGCTATAGTCATCAAAACAGTATGGCATTAGCATAAAAACAGAGGCACAGATCAACAGAACAGAATAGAGAGCCAGAAATACATGCACACATGTATGGTCAGTTAATTTACAACAGAGCTAAGAATACACAATGGGAAAGGGACAGTCTCTTCAGTAAGTGGTGCTGGGAAAACTGGACAGTCACATGCAAAACAATGACACTGGACCACTGTCTAATACCACACATAAAGTTAATTCAAAGTGGACTGAAGCCCTGAATGGAAGACCTGCAACCATGAAACTCCTAGAAAAAACAAGGAGGGTACGCTCCTTGCCATGGGCCTTGGCAGTGATGTTTTTGGATTGAAACTAAAAGCGAAGGCAATGAAAGGAAAAATAAACAAATGCAACTAAATCAAATTTATAAAACTTCACAGCAGACCTCCCCAAAATGTGCCACTTTGACATGTGAATCATTTTGAGCTGAAGACAATAAAGACCTGCAGGCCCATGAGAAATTTTAACCTCTCTATTAAAGAATTTAAATTAGGGGCTTTGCCCATAAGAATTTTTTTACCAAAAACTAACTATGTCAGGGAAACATAATTACTGAACAGCTATTCTTAACTCTGCAACGACCTTTCTCCCCTCTGAAGCCCCAAGACACTGTAGCTCAGAATGCCTCATGCACCTCCTTTTACCCATCTCCGAACCTCTCGTGCATGTGGGCTCTGACTCTCACGTGTGCTGGCTTCCCATGAATACACGTGTGATTAAGTTTGGTTATTTTCTCGTTAATCTGTCTCATGGTTATTTAATTTTACACCAGCTGAAAGAAACTAGGAGTAGAAGAACTTTTCTTCCTTTCCACATAAAACCATCAACAAAATGAAAAGGCGACTTACCAAATGGAAGAAAATATTTACAAATCATATATCTGATAAGGGGTTAATATGCAAAGTCTATTATGAACACAACTCAATGGCAAAACAGAAGTGTGATTAAAAAACAGGCAGATGATCTGAATAGACATTTTTTTTAAAGGGACATACAGATGGGCAACAGGTACATTAAAAGGTACTCAGCATTAACCACTAGGGAAATATGAACCAAAACCATAGTGAGACAGCACCTCATAACTGTTAGAATGGCTACTGCCAAAAAGAAAAAAGCAAGTGTCGGCAAGGATGTGGAGTAAAGGGAACCCTTGTGCATTCTTGGTGGGAATATAACTTGGTGCAGCCACTATGGAAAACTGGATGGATGTTTCTCAAAAAATTAAAAACAGAGCTACCATATGATCCAGCAATTCTATGTCTGGGTATTTATCTGAAGAAAATGAAAATACTTATTCAAAAACGTATATCCTCCCCACCCCCATGTTCATAGCAGCATCATTTATAACAGCCCAGATATACAAACAACTTCTCCATCCATGGATAAATGAATAAAACGTGACACACACAGGAATATTATTCAGCCATAAAATAAAGAAAATATTGGCATTTGCAACATGGACAGACCTTTGGGGCATTATGCAAAGTGAAGTCAGACAGATAAATTATGTTTTACACCTAAAATTAATATAATGTTAAATGTCAAATTACACCTCCAAAAAATTAGACAGGAAATGGGAAGAAAAAGAAATTCAGTCATTTTTGTTATGCCTTCCTTTTCAAATATAGGCTCATACAGAGAAGAAAAACTTTGGAATTTTCTGGTTAAGTGGTAATACACTCAATTGCCATTTAAAGCATGTTACTTTGAAGGTCTGATGGCAAACAGAAGATTAGGACTTGGGCTAGAATCTAGTCACTGAATGTTCTCAAAAGTCCTTTCCTTTGATGTGGATCAGTACAAACATCAGTAAAGCTCCCTTTTCCCTAATGGACCGCACATGAAACAGGCCAGTCAGACTAATAACAGCTTAAAACCACATCACATTATATATAATGATCTAGATGGTCGTGATTGCAGGTAGGTTTGTAGTAAATACCCGTTGATATGTTCACGTTCTATTTTGAAATGGGATTATAATCATGCCATTGTTATTATGACTATGCAACGTGACGGTGACTGTATTTGAGAGAATGCTCAACCTGAGTCAAACCCAAAGCCGCCTTCATTTTTAACTGCGGTGCCATAATTTTGGTTGGTTAGCTCCCATTAAAGAAAATTATCCTTTTTTAAAACCTTACTATCTGGAAGTCAGTACAATATTTTACTTATTAAAAGAGGTACAAGAAGCTTTTGTATAGCAAAAGTTAATGACCCTAAGCCCACACTCTGAAGTACAGACTGCAAAATTCACAGGAAAAGCAATTAAGGCTTCTTCCTGCCCACTGCTTACAGAGTGTTCCAGCCACTCTTTACCATCTCCCACTGTTCCTTTGCACTCGGTCATGTTTCCAAATCCGTGGGAATTTAAATTGGGGCAAGGCGTCTCTCCCTTCTCCGTCATGGTGTGACTGTTCACTCTTCCTTACCAAGTTTTCCCACCGAGAGGGAAGGGCAGAATCGCCCTGTTCCTCAGTGCGTTCCGATGGGAACTGGTGATAAGACCAGGTACAATTCCAAGAGGAGGCATCAGAGAACTGGTAGGTTGGTTCAGTAATAAGTTGGGAGAACTTTTTATTTTAATAAACAACCATAAATAAATAAATAAATAAAATGGGGGAGACAGTGCTTGGTACTGAAGGCAGCAAGAAGTGACAGAGAAACAAAATCCCCTAAACAAGGTGGCTTGGGGCCATTTATAACGGGAACATTATAGTTCCAAGAGCATCAGTTGATTATAGCGCTGAATGTAATAGCCCTCAAACATTTCTAAAAGGTCAAACGGAAATCATTTTGGAAATGCCCAATAAACCATCCTGTAAAGTGTTTAAGGAAGCAAAGCTTTGCTGTGCTTGATTTCCCAAAGAAGCAACTGAAAATATTTCTTTACTAAAAAATAACAATAGAACTACATACATCTTACCTCGTAATACTCCCCAGACTCTATTGGCTTTGAGGAAAGCCATTGGTCCCTTCACAAGTAAAGTATCTATATCAGAAAAAAAAGTTTGTTAATCCCTCAATGACACACAATAATTTCCCAAACATGCAGTAAGTATTTTTTGGACCGTTCTTTTCTGAGCTCCAGATCTGTTTTCCCTAACTGCCTCCCACACATCACTTAGCTGTCCCGGAGGTTCCTTTTACTCCACGTGCCAAAACTGAACTCTTCCCCCTTGCCTGCTCCACACCCTTCACCTGCCCGTCTCCTCTGCTGTATGTCTCTGCACCACCCTCTGGCCAGCTGAGTTGTTCACATCAGGAACTTAGGCCTTGTCTCCGAGATTCCTTCCCCACCCCGGGAGAGTTATTGTCTCCGGCTGCTCCTCAGGAGAGTAGGGTCATAGTGAAGCTGAGGTTTCCTTTGTGAAGGCTCTGGGATCACTCGACTCTTCCAATCCTTGTGGCTGGGGAGTTACCTCTGCTCTTTCCCTTCTCCTTCCGTGCTTCTCCACTTTCCCTACACCTACCTTTCCCAAATACCACCCTCAATCTTCCTTAAGGCTCACTTCTTAACTCACTCTAGCTTAATTCAACTTTGTTCCACTCAATAAAAAATTCACACTCATCTAGGGGCTGCAGTTGGCTACCAGGCAAAGGGGGTGCTAAATCCTTCAGTCCTTGAATCATACTCTGCCTAAGGTGGTCCCAGTAGTCATTTTAGTCTTTTACATTTGGGGTGGAGTTGACCACAGACCAAGTAAAGCACCATTCAGCACAGAGACTGAAAACGCAAGGGAGACTGATGCAGACTGTGCTACAGTACAGACACTCAAGGGCTGCAGGTTAATGATTTAATCCTGTATCTGGGCCGCACCACCGCCCTCCACCTCCACCACCACCCAGACAATCACAGGATAGTTGGCTGCAGGTTGGGAAAGAGTTCTATCAACAGTCAGTAATCATGTGACCCCCTCAGCTGACAGTCTTCTGACAAGAAGCCTTTCCATCAGAAGATGGAGTGATGAGTTAGCAGGAGTCCGGGCTGAGAACAGCACTGCTCTGACGACTGCAATCTGATCGTGACGCCTCTCCATCTGTGTCACATCTTCGCTGCCTAGAGCCCACAGGCCCGTTAGTCACTGCTGAGAATCATATTTTTGCCACGTTGTAGTTTTGAGATCTCCCAGAAACAGCATAGTCAACTAAAAACATTAACGTGTCGCATGTGTGTGATGTCAGTTATTTTCCAGTAAACTGAGGACTGGCTGATACCAAAAGGACTTTGATTCAACTCAACACACACAAAAAAACACAAATAAAAGCAGCTGGAAGGAGATTTTGTTTTCTAAATAAATGAACACACAAGCTAGGGGATTTCAATTTTTACTTTAAAACCAAATTACTAGTGTTAACAGTGATGACCTCCCTGACTTGAAATGGGAGTGGTGTCTTTGACTTTTCAGCTATTGCTTTCTGTACTTCTGCACCATACTTTGTTTTAAAGGGTGTACATACAAATAACATCCATATATTCTCCTTTAAAAACTATGAAATATTACAGATCTCCTTTGAGATGCCCACCCACTCCCTTTCCTGTCCTCAGAAAAAACATTTATCAGGCCTTTCCTAGGCACTTTCATACGCATATGTGTAACAGGGAAATACAGCTGTTGTTTTACACTGTGTCCCTGTTGATATATAAACATACGTATTTCATTGAACATCCTTTCTATATGCCATTATTTCTCTACAGTAGAAACTAGAGCACTTCTGGTTCTGAGGGCATGCAATTTTTACAGTTTTTATCAGGAGATAATGTTGTAGCACTTGTTGCTTCCCTTGACATTTCCTCACACTCAGGAACAACCGTTGATATATTGTCATTTCCATTTGTTCGTGTTACTTTTATCATCATCATCATCTTGTTTGAAACTTAAAGCTAGTTTATCCTTCCATGAGAAAACTTCACAACTTGTCTTAAGAAACTTCCTTTCAGAATAAAAAGTGTTAGCAAAGCTGAATCAAAGATAAACTATAACTCTCTATTTTCTGGAATGTATAGTATGCCACTGCATTGCCAACGGTCAGGAAAGATTCCTTGACCACTTAATGGCCATTTTATCTTCATTCAGATCATGAAACCCAACCATACGGTATCTGAGTGCCGACTGCCATGAAGTCACACGGCTGGTGTTGGCAAAGTATCCTGCTTCTCTTCCAGGTGTAGCACTGAAGGAAAATGAAGTTATTTTTTCAAAGAGCTGTACTACTGAGAAATCTCATCTATGCCAAAAGGATGAGGAGATGTCCTTCACTGTCTGCGGGGCTGTGTAAGGACGAAGATCGCACTCTGTTATGCACATCGTCCTCCCTATTGTTACGCCCGGCCCACCAGTCAGCTCTCTGCGCTACTCCGTATGGCCCGTGTCCTCACAGTGCTCCTCTTTCATCCCCTGGTTCAGTTCGTCACTGTCCTGGGCCAGTGCACCCCATGGAAAAGGCCTGCCCACTTGTTCATTCCTTCCAGCAAACTAGGGGAGAACCTTAGAAAATGTTCGAGGCAACAAAAAAATCATGTAGCTAAATCTTGATTATATTATTGAGCAAGTGAAATAGCTGCCCCACCTCGGGTTTTGCATTACCTTGTGTGAGATTAGATTATAAGTAGAGATCACACATATAAGCACAGATATGTCGTCAAAATAAAAGTCAAGAAATTACCTAGATGTCCAAAAATAAGAGGTTAGCCAAGTTAGTTATGGCACACCCAGGCAAAAGTATTTAGTGAGATACATGTTTATAATGTACAATATTATTACTTTAAAAAAGCAAAATACAAAACCATGCATATAGAATTAACCCCATTTTCATGTTATTATCATGCTTATATTTATATATGTAAAATATTTAAACTTACTGCTCTTTTTAAAAATCTGAAATAGCCAGGGTTAACTGAGTGCTAGAATTATGAGTAATTTATTTCTTCCTCTCCACTTACTGTACTTTTACCATCAGACTTTAATGGTAATTTAAAAAACAGGAATTAAAAACTCACTAGCCAAGAACTCACAATAGTTTATGGCACAGAGACTGCTTTGGGCACTTCAGTCTGCAACAGCTTTTGATACGATTCATGCACATCACATAGGTACTCACAGGACTCATCTGAAGAGATATTGGGGAACGTGTTGCACTCTGAGTCAAGGACCACCAAGACGAGAAGTTGCTGTAAGTCTGTTTTAACGTGAGATTTGGCAGGGTGATGTTGCCACTTGTGGTGACCAAAGATATAGTCATAATATCTGTGTGAGAAATAAATTCAAACAAATTTTAAACCACTGCGACCAAGTTTTAAATACATATGTGGTAGCAGACATTGTGGTTAACCCCTCAAATCCATGCTACCCCAAGTTATCAGTCTAACTAGAGGCTCTCACCCCAAACTGCATGTTAGAATCACCTAGGGAGCTTTTTGAAACTACTGATATCCGGACCTTCAGAACCAGAATCTTGGAGAGTAGGATCCAGGCATGGGAGTTTTTAAAGTTACCCCCACGTTTCCAGGTGACTCACATGAAGTCCCCAATAAGAACCACCAATCAAACCAAGGAAGGTAACCCCATCACTTGAGTATAGAGGCTGATTCTGACCAGTGATGGGGTGGGGGTGGGAATGTAGGAGGATATCTCCTGAATGAGCCACAAGGAGAAAAAACTCTCTGCTGTGACACCTGGGCCAGCTGCACCCACACCAAAGATGGCTGAGCAGAGATGGAAGGAATACCGATTTCTTACTCATGCCGTGGGGCCACTTAGTCAACCAGTCCTGAAATCCTCCCTGCTTTGGGACTTCCTGTTATGTGAACTAATAGGTTTTCTTATTGTTAAGGCAGATTGAGCCACGATTCCTGTATTCTTCCAACAAAAGCATCCTAGCTAATACATAAACCTCCAAGTAATGTGGCCAGACCAGATTTCTCACTAGGGCCATGAAAGCAATTGTTAAAATAATATTTTATAGATGTGGATTAGCCAGAGGTTGTGTATGCTACCCATGTGTAAGAACGTCTTGTGTTTTTCCAGAGGAGTGAGGAGGGACAGGCACATTCCGATGGATGAGTGTGGAAGTGCAGGGGAGGCAACCAATGGGGGTGGGCTGGAGGAAGGTGCTGAGGGCCCTTTTCACACAAAACCCTCCACAGATTCAAAAGGAAACTAAGATCGTGGAACTGGATCTATACTTAAAAATGATTAAGATGGTTAATTTTATGTGTCTTTTACCACCTTAGGTCCTGGCTTGTCCCAAGTAAGGAAAATCTTGACCCTGGGTATTAAAGCCCCAAAGCAAACCCAGAGGGTTCTGAGGCAGCCGTGGCCAAGGTACAGGCACACCCTGTTTCATTGTGCTTCACAGATGTTGTGTTTTTTACAAATGGAAGGCAAGACCTTTCACCAGCATGAGGATGACAATTCACTGTATTGAAAGTCTTGCTTTATTTCTGTGGCTGGAACTGAACCCGCAGTATGTCTGAGGTGGCCTGTACCTGGGTTAATTCAGCATTTCAGGAACAGAGAGAGTGAAGCTGCTTGTTCATTAAACAAATGACTAGCATGGGATGGACCTTGTTCTAGAAGCTGAGGGAGCAGCCTTGTACCAAACACCTCTCTGCCTGCAAAATGCACACTGTTGCAAAGCAGAGTTTATGACAGAAGTGGGGCTCCTCAGTGAGAGGAGCCACGCACGGGATCCTGAACCATCTGTGTCCCAAGCCCCAAGTGTGTGTGTTCCCGACTGCCTGAAGCTTTGGACCAGCTCCATCATCTCTAAATCTTTCCAACCCCCTCACGCTTTTACTTTGAAATAGATTCTGCCCCTCCTGACTTCCTAGAACGCTCCCCTGAATGCTTTCAAGTCTTAGCCACAAGGGCTGTTTTTATGACCTGCTTCCTAACAGTGCAGTCTATAATTAATAGTTGCTTCACACCCAGGGCACAAATTAGTTCAGCAAACTCCAGATTACCTGCGCTGCCTTGGAATGACAAGGCTTGTTTTTAAACTGTCTCACAGCTGATTCAAGTCCTGGTTGTCTAACCATTAACTTGTCGTCCATGTTTTCTTGCCATACTCATAGCACTTCAGCATATTACCGAGTTCTTGTTTTACTGGTGGTATGGCAAGAGGGAAAATCCAATCTGAAAAACTAAGTCCCAAAGCAAATATAAGGAAAGGATAAGTGTTTTTTTGTTTTGTTTTGTTTTAATCCTCACTCAAGGATATGGCTTTTATGGTGCCATGAGGGGAGAGAGAAACATTGATCTGCTTTATGTGACCCGACTAGGGATAGAACCCACAACTTAGGCATGTGCCCTGACCTGGGATCCAACCAGAAACCTTTTGGTGTATGGGGTGATGCTCCTACCAACTTAGCCACCCAGCCAGGGCAAGTGTGTTTGTTTCTAGAAGACTATCCAGCTGTGATCTTCCTTTAGATCAGGGGTCCCCAACCCCAGTTACCGGTCTGTGGCCTCTTAGGACCCAGACCACACAGCAGGAGGTGAGTGGTGGACTAGCTAGCGAAGCTTCATCTGTATTTATAGCTGCTCTCCATTACTCACGGTACTGCCTGAGCTCCGCCTCCTGTCAGATCAGCAGTGGCATTAGATTCTCATAGGAGAATCTGTGCACTCAGTCATCCCAAAACCACCCCACCCCAGGTATGTAGAAAATTTGGTTTTCATGAAACTGGTCCCTGGTGTCAAAAAGGTTGGGGACCGCTGCTTTAGACGACCTTCAGGTACTTTTTCCTTCTCAGTATCCCAAGGCAACCAACCACCTTGTTTGTACTTCTTCACCAGGACTCGAGCCATTTTGACCTATTACTAGGTTCAATACCAAAGGCTCATTAGGGTATGTGTCTAAAATGAAGGTAACAATATCCACTTAGTTGTACAAAACTGAAGAGAATGAGCCATCTCTGCTATCAGCCTCTCTGGTGAGACTTCTTCAGCCAGGGCCTTAGCCCCAGGCCTGTCTGGGGCCAGCAGGTATTAAGCTAGTTTTGCATATTTCACCAGCTGTTTGGTGTCCTGCAGGTACGATTAAGCTATAATGCCCACTGGGAACAGAAATAGAACTGGGGGTGGGGAAGGGGGTGGGGGTTGCAGTACAAACAGGACCAAATTACAATCCTTCAGGGCACTAACTCACCTTCAGGCCTGGCCCACCTACACACGTCTCACCGTGAGGGAACAGCGTGTGGCGTGCTGAACTGTCTCCCCAAGTGCGATCTGCTTGGTGTGCGGCTAGCAAAGCCCGGCTGTGGGCTGCTTCCCCTTTTCACAATTCACCCTGCCTGTGGGCTGCTAAACAACTAAGGAGAAGTTGGGAGAGCCAGCATGTAGCTGGTGTGGGAAGACAAAAAATCAGATACTGCGTTGCACTGACCATATTAAAGTAATTAGATGAAAACATCCAACATTTCATATGGAACGGAGATTTTGGAAGAGAAGGGGAGTTTTATGTAGTGTGCTCCAACCTGCGGACCTTCTGCCATCTAAATTGTTACCAGACTTGGGGGTGGCTGGTGAGAGGGCCTACAAATGACAGCCAACTTTGGAGAATTCCTGGTCCCCAAGCATTAAGCACTCTTCTTCCTAGAGCTCTAAATAAGAAGGTGCCTTTCCCTCCCTCACCCGCTTCCATCCACCCTAGACTCCCTTCCGAGGTGAAGGTGGCCAAGGATTCTGAGCAACCTACTCCCACTGAGTATCCCAGATGCAAACCAGGGTTCCTGGGTGCCCAGGATGTCCCTGAGGATGCAGGAGGAGAAGGGGAAGTGCTTGGGTGTCAGTTCGGTATTTTGAGCCAGCTCAGCCATCTTCTAGACCTTTGACTTTAGTCAAGTCACTAACCGGTTCAGACACTGTCTCCTGGTCTGTCAAATGGGGATAATGCGCTGGCGTGGCTGGGTGGCTGTGCAGGTGCTAAGAGGCGCCCTCCTCCCCCTCGCATCTGCGCCTGCACAGAGTCCTTGGGCGGTGCGCCAGGGGGTCCTGGGGGTCCCAGGGCCCCTTCCCACTCAGCCGCCGGGCAGGACCACTCACCGCCTGAACGCTTCCTGAAGGAGGGCGCAGGAAGGGCCGGCCTTGGAAGAGGGATGGTGGGCGATGTGGAAGTTTTCTGGGGAGAGGTACAGCAGGCGCGAGGTCATCTGCACCGAGAGTGGCATGGGCCACAGAGCTGGACCCTGCGCGGCGAAGGCGTTGGGGACCTGCTCGGAATGCAGCGCCAGCAACGCCAGCGCTGCCAGCAGCCCGCGCAGCTCCATGGCCCTTAAGGTGCTCTCAACCCCAGGCCCACTGGGGTGCCCGGCTGTATTTGACTGCCCTGCTCAGCCCCAGAGGAGGAAATACAGGATCTGAGTCAACGAGTCAGCTGACCGTGCGCCCCGCCCGGACTCCGCCCCCAGGCGGGTGGGACTCGGGAGACAGCCGGCCTCCCACCACCACCACCTCCGCCTTTCCACCCAGCTCAAACAGAACCGCAGCAATCAATATTCAGGTCCTAGCCCCTGTTCGCACTGCCTCAGGGAAACTGCAGAACTCAAGCCACAAACACCCCGTTTACCCACTCCCACCCCCCGCAAACGCCAGATCACCGAGGTGTTGATTTATTTGTCCGTAAATCTAGGCTTTCCTATAATGGCAATTCAGCTTTAATTAACAGAACTCCCCAGGGCAGAGTTTTGAACAGGTGGGAGATTGTAAAATTATGCAGAAGATATTCCGTGAGCACTATCTTGGGGGCAGGCAGAGGGTCGGGGCGACGGGTAGAGGACTTTTTAGAACTTTGAAAGGACACTGTGGATCAAATTAATAGGCAAATAATACAAAAAAGGGAATATATTTGTAATGAGGGGTTAATATTATCAGTATGATTTTCAAAAAAGTTAAGAACATGATGCCATTACAAAATAGAATGAAAACCTTCCAACGATTTTATTCAACTCATTAATTAGGCAATTATTATAATGATAAGTGTGGTTTAAAGGCAATTTAATAAAGCACAGTTAGAATAATGGCTAAATAGTTCAGAATTCGGTAGTTTCGCAGAGTGACTCAGCCCTGGGTATCTGAGCCTGGGTGCTCCCATCCCCACTCCAGAAAAAAGTTCCGTTTATAATGAATTCCCAAGAGTAACTTAAATATTTATTTGTGGTAGGCCTTTCTATATATAACATTTGGAGATAAGTAGCAGATTACAAGCAAGCAGAAACAATGTCATTGAATCCGATGCAGCAGGGATTCAAAAGTTCTCTCTCCCTCTTCCCTCTTCCCTCTTCCCCCCTTCCCCTCCTCCCTCCCTCCCTTTCCAGTCCTCTCCTCTCCATATATATCTCTATCTTTCAACTCAGGGTTTTTTTTTGTTTGGTTGTTTGGTTGGTTGGTTTTGGTTTTGGTTTTGTATTGACTTCATTCTCAGACAGGCTCTTTCTTCATTATGATGCCCTGGGTATGCTGGTCCTAGTCAAGGACGCCCACTCACAGACTGGATTTCACACCTACCCTTAGGACGGAGCTAGGGAAGTCAGATGACCAATGTGAACTAGAGATCCCAACTTTCCCTAAAGAAGAGGCATTCTGTTTCCCAAGAAAGAGAAAGGGGTATTAGGCCAAAACCACAGATCTACTACAGTTATTATTCCGAAAATGTTGATGAAAATCTGCAAGAAAAGACTTCAGAGAAACTTCATGGGGCATGCTTCAAGTTCTATCAAAGCAAGCCTCCGTGTCCCACTATTCTTCCCTCTTCATGGAATTAATACACATTTTATTTGCAGAATCCTTTACTGCCAGTTTTTCACTATTAACTGAAGGCTAACACAGCACAGTGTTTCCAAGATTCAATTTCCAGTTAATGTTGTTGAAATTGCCACATTAAATGACGACTTCACCTTGTGTGTTAGTTACCTACTGCCCTGGAAAAGATTACTCCAAAACTTAGGGGCTTAAAACAACAACAAATAATAAATTACAAGATAATCAACATCACAGTTTCTGTGGATCAGGGACTCAGGAGTTTTAGTTGGGTAATTCTGACTCAGTCTCTCAAGAGGTTGTGTAATGGGGTACAGTGTGGGGGTCCCAGGAAATAGCAGAGCATATTCCCCACAAACCTTAATTGGGAGGAAGGGAGGAGTGGATGATATGTTGTTTAAGATACCTTCATAACAATGGCAGGTTAATAGCTGTGCTGCTGCGCCGGGCAACAGTGTATGTGACTTTAAGAGTGTCTAGTGACCTGTGACAGAGCCGAGGGAAGCAGATGCCCCTGTGTCACGGAGAGCTCTTGCCCTGACTAAAGATAGCATCCAAAAGAAGGTAAAAGATACTGGGGAACTGACAAAAGTAGCACATCATACAAAGGGCCAGATATGAGGTCACATAGGAAGTTCTGGGCCGCCAAGCATTTAAAATAAGGGTGAACTGAAAGAGAAGGGGATTTTACCCTGAGGTCTGAAAGAGAGGCAGGAGAATCTCTGCAGGAGTAAAGGGTGTAAGGAAAGAGCTGATGGAGCTGTGTGGCTACCTGCCTAACCGAGTATAGGTCCGTGGGAGATGCTTAGAGCTGAACTGTGACTGGGAACGCTGGGCTGCAGACTTCTGCTTCTCTGAAGGACGTACAGGGAAGCCATTCTCTTGGAATGTGTGCCTCCCTGGACTCCACCGTGACCCAGCGCAACATGGCACATGTTTCCCTGAACCATTGCACGGAGGCTGAGAACAACACGCCCCAGATCCTGAAGGAGAGAGCGGCTGTGAGAGGATGGTGACTCTGAAACCCACAAGGGCACCTTCCAGAGAGGATGGAGATCTGTTTGTGCAGCTGGCTTAAGGACAGATAAGGACACGAGGAACTTCTGGGCATGGTTTTGGCTTGTAGCCTTTTGGGGAGCAGGGGAAGTGCCGGGTCTTGTGGGAGAGGAGGGCTCTGAGCAGGAGTGCTGTCAGCCTCCTGAGGTCGGAACCCTGTAAGTAAAAACCCATTTCCTCCAACACTAATTGTTGGGGCATGTATCAAGGTGCCACATGGCCGAGCCTGGGTTTGCTTGGTTACAGTGTCAGTCATCTGAAGGATTTTTTTGGAAGCTTGGCTAATGCTGGAGGATCTGATTCTAAGGTAACTTCTATCCCTGTTGGCAAGAGACCTGAGTGTTTTGCTGGCTGTTGGCTGAATCCCTCCGTTACTTGCCACATGGGCCTCTCTATGCAGCTACTTGTGGAGACTCACAACATGGCAGCTGGCTTCCCTGAGAGAGAGGGTCGAGCCCACACAAAGAGGAAGAGACCAGGATGTCTTTTTCACTTAATCTTGTTAGTGACACTCTGCCTTTTATCCATTAAAAAGTTACTAAATACAGCCACATTCAAGGGGAGGAAAATTAAGCTTCACCTTTTGAAGGGAAGAGTCCACTCTCTGACCACAAATTATTTTTATTACTCCCATGTGCAGAATACATTCCCTTCCTCTCAAGAACCCCAAAGTCTCTTATCTTTAGAACATTGGCTTGAGATCTGGAACGCTGGCATCTGAATTAGCTCTTGGTACGCATGAGGGTCCTTGGATATATCCTTAAGTATCCTCCAGTAAAGTTCTCCCAATTTGAAGACCTGTGAATAAGGAGACAAGTTTTCTGCCCCCATTCATATAAAATATGACATGGGACAGACATAGGATAACCACTACAGTCAGTTCTATTCAAAAGGGGTGTCGAAGGGTCTGTAGCAAGTGCAGAATGTAGCCAGGCAAGTGTTGGAAGTTCCTTGATTAGGTTACAAAGCCTGAAATCTCGATGGCTCTCTGGGCTCTTGGTTCTGCCTTCTGATTCATCTTTCTCTTTTTCATGAAAAGTAATACGTGTTTGCAGATGAGTAGATTTCTCAGTCTGCTTTCCACTTGTAAGATTTTGGGGGTGCAAAGACCTTTTTAAATTTGGCACTATCTATTTCACTTCAAACTAGCAGTGTTTCTGCTAATATAATTCTGATAAAAACTGTTGACCCCATGTGCATCTCACTGAGGTTCATGCCACTAGACAAAAACCACACTCACCAGTCTCTTCAGGGTATCTTGGGCTTCTCTTAAGGGAGAGCACCCTTAGAAACCTTCCAGTTTAAGTGAAAGGGTCTGTCAGGAACACCCTTAAAATACTCAGCAGACCTGTCTCACTGCCAGATACTCTGAGGCACCGCAGTAGATCTTCCTGGGGCCTTATGGGATTTTACACTCAACCTTGGTTTCATGTTTAGATGATGTTTTCCTGAGAATGCCTGGGCTTGATCTCTGCCCGAAAGCCAAGTCTTCATTTCAGTGTCATTCGCTGCCTAGAGAGTCTGGAAATTTTTAAAAACAATCAAGTCATGGCTCCTTTACGTTTAATAGCCCTTCCTTTTTCTGATCTTGCTCCTTTCACATTTTAATAGAGCAGAAAGATGAAGTTGGAAGGCACCCGACATCCTCGCTGGAAATCCTAGTTAGACCGCCCATTTATTGGGTGGGCCCAGCTTCCACTGTCCGCATCACTGCTGGCCGTTGTGTGGCTAATATTTCTCCTGGGACATGACAGGGATCTCGTGTCCCCTGGTTTCCAGCGAGATTGTCCTCACTGTCCTTTAACCAAGCTTCCTCGAGTCTGTGCTTCTGCAGCTTTCGAGGTACTCGATGCTTTCACTAACCCTGCCTTCAGAGTCGTCGCAGCCTCTGCCTACTGCCTGATGCCAAAGTCACGGACACTTTGCAGGGGTTTGGCACAGCAGCGCCCCACTGCCGAGTGTCGAAATTGGCATTTATATCTGTTGCTGTGTAGTAGTTGACAAACACTTAAAGGAGGCGTGCAGTTAAAGTTTTGATAGGTAGCGCCAAACTTCCCTCCAAAGCGGGTACACCTGTATGAGTGTCCACTACTCATAACTCATCTCAATATATTAATTACTAATCTTTCTCAATTTGGTAGGGTGTTTTAATTTGTACTTAATTATTTCTGAGGTTGAATAAAATGACCATTTTATATCTTCTAGTGAGAGCCTCTTTATATCTTTTGGGTGGTTTTCTTTCTCTCATGATTTGTATGGGTGATTTTTAAATTATAGGCAGTAACCTGTCCTGTATATTGTGAATATTTTTTCTTAGGCCATTGACTTTCTTTTATCTTTATTTACATGGTATTTTGTCTCACAGTGGTTTTAACTTCTTTTGAGACCTAATTTGTCCATCTTCCTCTTATGGCTTTAGGATTATCTTGATTAGGATTCAAATATAATAAAAACTCTCCTTTTTATCTAATCCTCATATAGTTCTGTTTCTGAGTTGCACGCTTTGCTCCAGCTGATGTTCACTTTTGTGCATAGTTAAGG